ACACGGGTACCGAGTACGACGTATACATGTACGAGAGGGAATATGTACGGATTATATATCCCACCGCTCCGTCGTATCGTACTCGCAGCATCCGTCATGGTACTCACGTAGCCGTTCCCACTGCGGAGCATCATCAATCGGGGTGTGCCATTGCTGCTCCTCTGAACCACCTTGCGGATTACATTGCATGTACGTATATACATATTTATATTTATGTGCATACCCACGCATACCATGTGATATGCATGCTGCGTACGGGAATTGCGGCACGGTGGCTGTGCGGGCGGATGGTGACAACCGTGTTGGAACGAATATCAGCACTCCCTACTCCGTACATTGATTGATTGATTGATTGACTGCTACGCAATCCGACATGTCTATATCAGTAGCGTGCGGCGTACGAGTACGTGATACTTGCGAGCGACATCCCAGCGGCTCACTCGGCTCCCGACCGAGTGCTCCACCACCCTGAACTCTCTCAACCCACATGGGCCTCTACGGAGTATTGCTTTTTTTTCTTTTTTTCTTTTTTTTTCTTTTTTTTTTCTTCTTCTGTTTCTGCTTCTACCTCTCCTCCTTCCTCTTGGCTCTTTTTACTATATTGCTCTCCTGATACGAAGGTAGAGAGAGTCAGTCACCATGTAGAGAGTTGGCAAACTACTCTCGCCTGATACGAGGGCGGGGAGTCGGGTCACCATGTAGCGGTAGTGAGTATAGGATAGCAGATACAGACTACTCCTCACAACATCCTCTCTTCTCTTTTGCCCTTCTCGGTTCCCACTCGGTCCGTCGTCCGTCCTCTTACGTCTGCTCGCGCGCGCGCACGCACACACATGTCCACGTGTACTCTCAACACGTGCGGCGCGTGCTTGTCAACATGGTCGACAACCCAACTCTACGACTTCAGATACCTTGGTGCGTGCGCCACCAGGCCGGGCAGACCAAGCTCAACCCCCCCCCCCAATGGTCTCTCTTCTCTCTGCCTTGCAATTACAACACTATGACACCATCCTTGCTCACCCTTGCACACGCACACGCACACGCACACACACACACACACACACAGACAAAGTACGGAGCATCACGGAGCGCTACGGGCGCTCACCCATGTCTCAGGACCTTCTGCCGTAAGTCAATGCCGGACCTGACTTCCCCCGTCCTGAACCAGGAGAATAGTATTAGTGTAGACATCCTGACACACGCAACTTCTCCAAATACCGTGAGTTGAAACATTGCTCATACTACGCCGCACAAGCCATATATCACTCCAGAGTTCCTGATACTATATTAGAGCGCGCAACGTCCGAGTACTCGTACCTTGGCAACCGTACGAGTACGGATTACTACACTCGTGGCAGAATGCATGATACGCATACAATCGTCAATATGTATACGGCGTCGAGACGTATCGGTTTTTTTTTTTTTTTAAAAAAAAAAAGAGAAGAAAAGTGATACGTCCAGGCTATATTGCAATGTAAAACACCCCCCCTCCTCCCCTTGAGAGTCGAAGTCCCGTCGGCTGCTATGACTAACCACCGGTATATGATGGTATATCTGCGTGCAGCAATCTCTGCCGCCGGCTTGTATGTAGCCTCACCATGATTGTAGCCCGTCCCTCGTACGGAGAAGAGATCGAGCATGATCCAGCACAGCTTTCGGTAGAGCACGAGACATTGGTTGCGACGGCCACCACTGACGCCACATAAATGTGTGTGTGCTTGCTTGCTGCCCGAAAATCCGTCCAGCCCCCCCGGTGATACGAATCACGGTGAGCATGACGTCGAGGAAGGAAGACGGACAGAGACAGAGAGGCGATGCTACTGCTCACGAGGGTATGGGGGGACACTAATATCAACGCAGGGGCTTCGGAACCTGGCGAAAGAAGTCTTGGTATTCTCATCACTACGCTACTAGACCCTGGTACGAGCGGAGAGAGTTGGCATCGCCACGGCACCAGTGCGAGTACGTCGTAAGCCGGCGGTATAGTTAGTCCTGACACCCATCGTTGCTCTACGACTAGACCCGAACCGGTTCGGTTCGGTGACATGCATCCGTTCTGAGTACATGTACTCCGTACCAGAAGCAGTCCACTAGCGCGCGCGAGAGAGAGAGAGAGAGAGAGAGGGAGAGAGAGTGTGTGTGTGAGAGAGAGAGAGGGAGAGAGAGAGGAGAGAGAGAGAGGGAGGGAGGGAGAGAGAGAGAGAGAACCCACAGCCTCCCAATGCTGTGGTGGTGGTACCCGCGAGACGGGTCCGATTGCGCGGCTCCCATCGTCCAGCCAGCCAGATACATGTACTAATATCGGCCCTGGAGCCGTTGATATCGACCGGGGGGGAGGGGAGGGGGAGGGGTGGCCGCCTCTCTGGTTGTAATATTGCATGTTACCCTTGCTGCCTCGTTCCAAAGTATTATAAGAGCAATCTGTACGTACTCGTATCAGCACGAGTACAGGTAATATATCGTGCAGCACACCGGCCTCTGGCGAGAGGAGAGCTGCTAGGACGCATCCGGCAATAGATGACCGGGGTAATACAGCCAAGGTTGATGGTTGATGATTGATACCCACTAATTGGCCGGGACGACGAGATCTTCACCAACTACCCCGATAACCTTCCGTTGTTACCCGCAGTATGGACATGACGCCCATCACGGCTCTCGACGGGACAGCACATACGCCTGCGGAGTATCATCGTATACCGAAGCCTCTCTTCCTCTGACGCCTACCGTAGTTCTCGTACGCCCGCCAACCTCGACCTGCCAACCGGGCGCCGTCTACCCGTCACACCCCGATACGGGGGAGAGAAAAGGAGGGGGAGGGGGGCAGCAGGGAGTTGAAAGCAAGGCAAACCAAGTTTATATATCCTTACAGAAACTCACCCAGGGGGGCCGGGGGGGGGGGGGTGAGGAAGAGAGGAAAGAAGAAGAAGAGGAAAAACACCGTAGCTGGCTGTTTGGTCGAGTACTCGTTACAGAAGATACTCATACCAGGAATAACTCGGCTCATGTCGTATTGATTGTACAGAGAACCCTCATCCTCCGTACCGCCTGCAAAACACGCGTTAAGTCGACGGAACGGAACCCTCCCCCTCCCCCCCTTCAGGCTAATAATAAGAGTGGCAGGGATTTACGACCGGTACCCTTGCTCTCTCTGACTCTGTAGCGTTCCTTCTCCCCCCCCCTCCCCTCCGTCCTCTCTGACTCCGCTTGGGAAGAGAGGGTATCTTGTGATTATTGGTGGTCGGGATCCGGTGACCTTTTTTCCTTTTTTTTATTTCATTTCATTCTTATTCTGATCTCGACGACACACACGAAGCCCTTGCTCTGCCGTGCCGGGTGCCATTCCCACGGGCCATGGGGTCTCAAGGATCCAGGATTTATTTCCGATTCTGTCCTAGGCTCTTTTTCTTTCCTTTTTTTCTCTTTCTTTTTTCTTCTTATCCTTCTACGTACCCGTAGAGTACGGGTACTGTTGTGTAACTTTACTCTTTGTAATCTGTAAAGTGCTTCAAAACAAAGCCCCCCCCCAGGTGTTTCCCGTCGCCGCCGCCACCATCACGGGTCCCGTTCCTCTTCTTTTTCCTGTTTCTCAACACAGCTGGTAGCCCTGTCCGAGAGACTGGATGATAGAAGGGAGGAGAGGGAGGAGGGGATGACAGTGAGTGGTGCTTTGCTCTCCAGGTTCCCGATTCCCCTCTCCAGGTCCCCAACTCCCTTTCCCTTACCCCCTCTCCTCTTCGTCCTTCTCGGGTCAACACACAACCCACCTTTATTTTGATTCTGATTCTATTCATCGGTTGTCAGAGAACGTTTTTCTTATCTGCTTCTCTTCTAGAATCATCCGTCATACAACTCTACTTCGGGGGAAAGGACGGCGAAAACCATACGCTCTTTTGGTTTTCTTTCTTTTCTTCTTCTTCTTTGTTCGGGTGTGTGTGTGTGTGTGTGATCGAGAGAGTGTGTGTGAGAGAGTGAGAGAGAGTGAGAGTGAGTGAGTGAGTGAATGAGTGTGTTTCCAGTTATCTGACAGTTCGGCAACCCACCTCACCATCATCATTCATTCACCTGGCAACACTCACCTTCTCGGTCATCACTTGCCCGACCCGCCGTAGTCTTCATTTTCTACGCTGTCGAAACCGTTTGAGAGTCACTCTAAGAAGTGGGAGTGACAAGACGAGACAGAGAGAAGAGAGAAGGAGAGAAAAAGAGACCGGGAGACATGTTTGCCTGCATATACCTCGTTGAAACGATAGCTTATGCCGATTACTCTTCGCCTCACACTTGATTCTCTCGAAAGTCCCCCATAGACGGTTAGTGAGGGGAAGGAGAAGAGACGGGCCTGTATACACGTCTCATACGGCTTTCGATAGTACAGACACATCGATATTCTGGTCTCCAGGGCCCCGAGTTACACCAAGACTGCTGCTGCAACCCATCCGACAACAATCAACGGAGCTCTGTATAGAGAGAGAGAGAGAGAGAGAGGAAGTTCTGCAGTGTCTGTGTGTACCACCGCTCCTTGTCTCTTGAGCCGAGAGAGAGAGCTGAACACTTGTGACTCCCGGAGGTTTTTTTTTTCTTCTCTCTTTTGACAAATCATCGGTGTTCAGAAGACGAGTCGGAAGGAAGACCGAGGGGGGAAGAAAAGAGCTCTCCTTGGTGAAACGAGAGCTGAGGTTGACTGACCTCTTGTTTCTTTTCCTGAACGGTCATCCTTCCTTCTTTTTCTCATTATTTGCTTTTTTTTTCTTTTTTTTTTCCGAAAAGAAAAAAAAAGAAAGCAGAGTCAGAGACCGTGGACAAGATTACTACGAGCTACACTACGACAATCTTTCACCCCCCATCCTTCTCTCTCCCAAAACTCCGGACCCTTCCCTTTTCCTTTTTCTCTCTCCCCCCCCCCCTCCCCCCCTTTTCTCTCTGAGGGAGAATCTGGGGTCAGGAAAAAAAAGAGCCTGGTTGATAGTTTCGCTGCCGGTGTGCGTATGTACACGCAGCCAGCCATGGCAGGACAGTCGCACAACGCTTACCCTCGATCACCAAACCTCGATGCCCGCTCCTATGGATCGTCATCTGTCTCGTCTGCCGCCTCGCCAAATCCTGTGCAGCGGCAGTACCTTGGAGACGTGATGGGCTCGTCGAGGGTCGACCTGGCGGCGGCGGCGGCGGCGGCGGCGACGGCGAGCGGTCTTCCGCCACCGCCACCGCAGAACGCCGCCAGCCCTGATCCCAGTCCCGGCTCCGGTCCCGGCTCCGGCGGTTACCCGACGTACGCGCCCATGTCGTCGGGCTCCGCGTTCGGACGAGACTCGATAGCGTCGACCGAGTCTCCGACCGGCACGCCCGGCCCGTCGCACGCGCACCTGGCTGGCGGGGGCGCGGGGACGCCGGGGAGCTCGGCCGGCGGCGGCGGCTCCTCGCTGTCGCAGAAGCGGGCGTACCGCCAGAGGAGGAAGGACCCCAGCTGCGACGCCTGCCGCGAGCGAAAGGTCAAGTGCGACGCCACCGAGACGGCCAGCTGCTCCGAGTGCTCCAGCCGGAACGTCAAGTGCCAGTTCACAAAGGAGACGAACCGCCGCATGTCGTCCATCAAGCAGGTCCAGGATCTCGAAAAGCAGGTCTACCAAGTCCGCAAGGAGAACTCGACGCTGCGCCGGAGGCTGGAGGGCAGGGGGCTCACCGCCGCCGGCGGCGGCGGCGGTAGCGTCGCCGGCGACACCATGGACCTCGCCGACTCGGAGCCGCCACCGCCCGACGAGATGGCCGCCTCCCTGACCCTGCAGCTGCCGGCCGTGGGTGCGGACCCGAAGCGCACCCAGCGGCCCGCGCCCGTCCCCGGCCTGTCGCCGGCGACCAGGCACGGCCTGCGCGACTACTCCAGGGGCGTCTTCAAGCCGCCCGCGCAGCACCGTCCGCCGCCGCCGTCGCACATGCTCTTCGACCCGCCACGCCCGGACCTGCCGCGCCGTGAGACGGCCGAGCACCTCCTGCTCGCGTACTACCGCCTCGCCCACCCCATGTTCCCCATGATCCACTGGCCGACGTTCCAGGCCTCCGTCGACCGCATGTACGCCGCCGGCGCCGGCGCCGGCGCCGCGACGAACCCGGCTCGAGGGGTCCCCTCCGGCTTCCTGGCCATGTTCTTCGCCGTCCTGGCCGCCGGCAGCCTGTTCACGCCCGAGGAGCCCACCGGCGGCACCTCGTTCTACCGGCCCGCCGACCTCCTAGAGGCCGCGAGGGCCACGATGGATCCCTGGGCCAACGAGTGCGACCTGGACGTGGCCCGCGCGACGGTCCTGACGGCCATGTGCCTCAACGAGATGAACCTCCGGACGGCGGCGGGCCGCGCCGTCGCCGCCGCCGTCCGCATGGGCCAGGACCTGGGCCTGCATACCGAGACGGGTCCGTGGCCGGTCATCGAGGGCGAGATGCGTCGCCGCACGTGGTGGGCGACCTACATACTCGATCGGGCCGTGGCCTCGGAGCTGGGGGTGCCACCGCTCATCAACGACGCCGACGCCGACGTGTCGCTGCCGGTCGGCGTGGACGACCAGTACATCCGGCCGGACGGCATGCTCGTGCCCGCCGACGCCCAGCCGCTGACGCACTCCCTCCTGGCCGTCATCCACGTGGTGCGCTGCTACTCCGCCCTGTTCGCCGCCCTCTCCGAGCCCGTCGTGCCCCAACACCGCATCGCCGCCTTCGAGCACCACATGGGCCGCTGCCTCGAGTCGTCCTTCCCGCCCCAGTGCTACCCGACCAGCCAACTCTCGCTGGCGCCGCACTTCCTCGGCCCTCTGGCCTACCTGCTCCACGCCCGCATGCTCCTCCACCGCCACAACCTGGGGACCCGCGCCCCGCCCCCCGCCCGCCTCCTCGCCGTCGAGGCCTGCACCCACGTCGCCCTCGACACGGCCGTGCTCGTCCAGCGGGCCGCCACCAGCGCCGCCGACCCCTGCGTCGCCACCTCCCTCCTCGCCACCCACCTCTTCCGCTGCACCCTCTTCCTCCTCCTGACCGGCTACATCGACCAGGCGGCCGCGTGCATCCGCCTGCTCGCCTCCACGAGCACGAGGCGCGACGTCGCCGTCCCCTGCGGCCGGTACCTGACCATGTTCGTCTCGGTCCTGAAGCCCAAGCGCGCCGAGCACGTCGACTACGTCCAGCGCAACTACCCCGCCTCGCTGCGCACTCCGCAGGACCACCACGCCGCCCTCCTCCAGTCCCTCGCCTCCGACGAGGACATCCTGGCCCTGGTCAGCTCCGACCTCCAGGCCAGCCTGGACCACAGCTGGGCCTGGTCCGAGCACGGCAGTACCCCCGCCGCTGCTGCCGCTGCCGCCACCGCCGCACCGACAGCCGGCGGCGGCGGCAGCAATACCGGCAGCGGCATCGCCTCCTCGAGCCTGTACAGTTCCGAGGCGAGGACCGGCCTGTCGCCCAACGACATGAGGAACTGGGGAGGCTGGGCAAGGCTGGAAGCCGCCGTCCTCGCGCTAGCCAGCAACGCGACACCGACCAGCGCAACGTCCCTGTCTTCGGCGGCGGCAGCTGTCACTGCCCCGCCGGGCTCTTCGTGGTCCGCCCTCCCGCCTTCCAGACCGCCGTCTGCCCCCGAATTGCCGCGTATCTCGGGTGTGCCGCGGTACGCGACTGCCTCGCCGGCTTCCAGAATGGTGGTCGAACCGAGCAGTACGTCTGGCAATCCTCCGGGCGCAACCGACTTCCCCTCAAAGAGGGGGACTGATCGGTTGAGCATTGCCAATATTATCTAACGTCTAGCGTCATCACCGTCGCTCGTCATCTTTTCTTCATGCCATCTTCCCTTTGGTACCATCAGAGGGGGAATGTGTACGGGCGAGACTCGGGAGTCGATTTTACAATTTACAGTCTTGTTGCTGTTGCATGGGCGTTCCATTCGAGGGAGGGAACCTAATAATATATAATGGCACTTCTCCCCCCCCCCCCTTTCTTTCTCCTACCAATCTCTCATTCCATATTTATCTTCTCACATATAAATACTTCTTCCTCGCTTCCTTTTCATTTCGCATCTTTTTCGTCTTCTCTATCAGCGCAAGGGGCGGATTTGCACACGGAACGGGAGGCGTTTGCGTTGCATTGCGTTTCTTCTGGCACGGTTTGCATAGCACGACAGGAACATGAGCCATGGTTCACCACATACCAACAATCCCCTATTTTCTTCTTCCTTGAATCCCCCTCATCATCTGCCATGGCTCTTATTTTTTTTCCCCCACCTTACGACTATACCTAAGAGCAGAATTTGAATAGAAAATTGACAAAAAAAAGCAATATTGAAAAGAAATAACAGCCTCGTTTTCCATTATAGAATGCATGTGCCTTATACTTATAGCCTTGACAGAGAGTTTGGGAGCTCGGCTAGATCTTCCTACAGCGCACTTTTATGATCAGTATCACCAGCTAGCCTCATTGTCTCGAGAGCCAAATTCATGGCGAGATGGCCAGTGGCAGTTGTCAAAGTGCTCTGTAGCGCAGTTGTAAGAAACGAGGGCGAGATGTTCAAGTTCACCGGGCGAAAAGTCGGCGTCGCTCTGCGCGTGCGTACACGCGTCGAGGACCATGTCGAGGATTGGCAGAGTCATCGTTATCGCAAGCATGTGGCTAGCTTTCATCTGTCGCGGCCCTCCTTTTCGGACAAGGCCCTGGCGATCTGAGGCAGGATTTCATGGATGACTTGGTTCGTCATGTAACATGATGATCAGCATGGCATGCGGGAAAGAAGCGTGTGATTTACGACATACCGGATTTTGGAGCCGCAGACCTCGTCAGACAGTTGCCCATCATCTTGAGAGAAGATGAGACGGCTGCGTCGACGCCGTGAAACCGCTTTGCCTGCGTCACGATCATCGAGAGATCTTCCTATTTTCCCTGAGAGATTGCACCTTCAAAGTCAACCGCCAACAGGACCGTCATCTTCTGACGCAGATCGTCAAAAGCAGTTGCGTCTATCGTCAAGCCTTTCGCACTCTGCAATTCCTCGCCAAACGAGGCAACATGGCCTCGCATCTTGCCAACACAAAGCTTCATCTGGTCTCCGTCATCGGCCTGTCGCAAAATCGATGCCAACGATACGGCGTCAACAAAGTCGCAGCGCATCTTCATCAAGAGCAGGCCTTCCGTATCTTCCTCGAGCGTGTCCGGAGGGTAGCAGTCTATGAAGTCGAGGCAAGTGTTGAATATGCGGACAGTATGGGAGGGCTCCCACCCTGAAGATGAGGTGCACTTCGTGATACCCATGTTGTATGCAGTCTTGCGGAACCATTCAAGCTCAGGAAGGGTAAATATCTCATACCCGTATGCATCTTTAGTACGATTCTTTGCCTTCTCCGAGGCTTCCACACATCCCGCGTTAGTTCGATTGGTCGGAGATGGATATTCGAAAGCATGCTCACCTATTTCGAACAAGATGCATATATCCTCCGAGAAAGAAGACGAGACCGGCTCCTCTTTCTCCATCATCCCGATCAACCGTAGGCCGCATCGGATGATGGCCGTCAGACAGTTTCCCGCCGATCGTGCTGAATCCCATCTCAAGGCTGCAGCTTTCAAGGCTTCCAGAGCACAGAGCTTGTCGCCAACCTTCTGTGCTTCACATATGCAGGCGCACATGATCTCTCGGACCCGCTGCTCTTCAGAAAGAGTGGCCAGACTCTCTATGCACCAACATCCAAGGTCGCCTCTCCAGGACATCAAGGCAGCCTTGAACAGGAGAAATAGCGATAGAGGGTCCTTCTGGCCCGCTTCAGGCATCTGCCTGAACGCGGCAATCGCCTTCTCGATGTCATCGAGCTTCAGAGCGCAAAGCATCCTCTTTCGGCTAATAATTGCCTTGGTAGAGTCTTCGGATTCGGAAAAGATGTCGTGAAGCCCGGTTGCGCACCACGCATCACCGATTTCATAGGCTTCGGATGAGAGCGCTTCCCCGATTTTGTTCCAAGCGAGCTGTTTGTTTTTTGTTTGTTTTTTTTTGCCGCCTAGTGTTAGCAGATAGCATACCTCTTCAGGAAGAGGAGAGCCTTACCAGGTGAGCTGCACCTGCAACTTCGGGGCCCAATGGTTTAGCAAGCGACCTGTGCATAGCATCCAACGTCGCGTCAAGAGTCATGACGGGACCTGTAGTTTTTGCGGTGGTCAACTGGATTCTCCTGATAAGCGACCTGCAAATGGTTTCTTCATCTCCAGAAGGAACTACATGTTCTAGCATGATCTCGTCCATGAGACTGCAGGCCTCGGAAGTATCCTCGTCGGTTCCACTGAGGAGAAGGACCCTGATCAGATCTTGCAGTACGGCAAGCCGAACACCACGGTCCCCGACGTGGCTGCTGCTGATTCTGCGTGCTCTCCGGAGCCATTTCAAAGCCGATTCGAGATCCGATTCCGCCTCGTGACGGATGCCGATTCCACGTAGCGTACCTGCCAGATGGCTGACAGATTCCAGGTCAAGCCGGCGACTCAGGCCCTCGACCTTGACAAGCATATACTCGGCAACGTCGAGGCGGTTCTCCTTCCACGACTGTCCAGCACAACTCAGCGAGTAGCCCTCCCCTGCGGTGGGCAGCAAGACGACCTACCAGGATGATCCTCAAGGCCAGGTTTTCTGCTTCCATCCTCGCTCTCGTATCCTGGCCGGCATCATCGAGGGAAGATGCACCTCTGAGACGCTCGGAATAATTTGCGACCTTCCGCAGAGCCATCCGGGCCGACTCCGTATCCTTACCCTGCAGACATGTCCTTGCCAGTGCGAGGGCCAGCCTCATCAAGTACACTGTCTCGGATGCAGAATCCCGCCTCGCTGCTGCCCGACCAAGCTCGAGGATGCAGAATGCAAAGAGCCTCGCGCTGGATAGGTCAGGACACTCATGGCCCTCCCTCTGCACGCGAATGCACAGATTCCACAGGTCCTTCCCGTGTCTCCCAAGGCTCTCTGCTTGGCTCTCCGGTATACGGGAGCATCTCTTTCGGGCGAGAAGGCCAGTGACGATGCCGAGATGGCGATTCACGGAGGCCAGAGCAAGGCCTGCAGATGTCTGTTGTCTGTCAAGTTTTGCGTACAGATCGGTTGCGAATTCTGCGCAACGTCAGATCAGTATGATGCTAAAGGTGTGCTACGACCGTGAAGTTTGGCTCTTACCAACTATGATGTCAACCTCCTTGGCTACGCAACTAGCCGAGCGGGCAACCGGCTGGCTCATCGTCACCACCTTTCTTCGCGATACGCCTGAGAATCAGAATAGTGGATGTCAAGTAGGTGAGAGCAGATGCGTCCCGTCTCGTCCTAGAAGATGGTCAGACTGAGGAGGCAAGAGCGTGGCAGCAGGGAAGCTGGCTCCTTCCACACCACATATACGATGACGTACACACACGCACAGCACAGCACAGCATCGAACAGATTTCCTCTTTATTTCATAAGTGATACCAAACGCCATATCCAAGAGATACAAGGACGATAGAAAAGAGAAACAGCACAAGGAAAGATAAGGGGAAGATGATGGGCCGCCTTGCCGAAATCATAGAATAGGAGAGATAAGAGGGCCCCGATATAAAGCATAGGAGCGCGACCAGGGGAAAGGGGGGGGGGGGGGGGGGGAGGAAGAGGATAATGAGAGAGAGATATATACAATCAATCTTCTTTTTTTTTTCTTTTTTTTTTATGGAGAGATTGTTTTCTCTATCCTTGCGGGGGCGGATCATGTGGTAGAAAGTTACCCACAATGAGCGCCGGTCTGTATCGCCGTGTGAGTACAGGAATGGTAAGGGGGAGAAAGAGGTGAGACTGGGAGGGCATGGGAAAACATACAACTTATGCTCGTCCCTCCGTATGGTGAAAGCAAAACAGCAGTTGACGATGGGGTGGTCTGACATGTCACTAGGGTTCTTGAGCGAACAGGCCGTCAAGAGAGTCTCGTGAGCCGGATCAAAGGCGATCGTGCCGAATTCCTCCCAGTACCGGACCATGGACTCTTCTGTGAGGATCTCGTGTAATGCGATCTTTCCCTGTGTTGATTGTCAGTGTCGGGGTCTTCCTCTGCTTCCTGCTTCCCTTCATCCCTACTTCGTCTCCTTCCTCTCCTCTCCTGTCGGGCAGTCGGAGAAAGGGAGTGCGGGAGGGTAGGGTAGGAAGCGAGCGGGAGAGGAGGAGAGGGGGGAAGGTAAGACTCACATCTCGTAGTCGATCGACAGGCACCCCGATGAGCTCAGCCATCTCCTTATTTCCCCTGAAGATCTCCCCCGTCCTCCGCCAGCAGCAGGCCGGCACCGCCATGCTGGCAAAGACGCGGTCATAATCCATGAGCTGGCGCTCGAACCACATCTCGACATAGACGAGCTGCATGTCCGTCAGGCCCTGAGCCTTCTCGCGGAACTTTGGCCGGAATTGGTTGATGGTGCGCAGGATCTTCTGCTTGGACGACGCGGCGATGTGCCCGTCGAGGTACTTGCCAAGCCGGGCGTAGCCGTTGATGTAGTTGAAGGGCTTGAGCAGGCCGGCGTCGTATTTGGCGCGCAGGAGGCGGCCCATGCGCTCCTCCGGGTTGTCGCTGCCCGCCGGGTCGGCGGCCTGGAGGTAGTATTCCCGCGTCTTGTTCTCGGTGGCCGTCGCGGTAGCGGCGGCGCTGCTTCCTGGCATCCTACCGTCCATATTGGGTGGGGGCATCATAGATCCCGAGGCTTGCTGCTGCTGCTGCTGCTGCTGCTGCTGCTGCTGCTGCTTCTGTAGTTGTAGCTGTAGCTGTTGCCGTTGTGACTGCTGCTGCTGCTGCTGCTGCTGCTGCTGCTGCTGTTGCGTCTGCTGCTGCGACCATGAGCTGTCGCCAAAGTTGTTGTTGTTGTTATTGTTGGACAGCATGTCGGTGTCGATGGTTCGGGAAAAGATGGGACTCTGCTGCGCTTCGTCCGAAGGTAGACCGTTGTCGTCGAGGAGGCTAGTGTGGAGGAAGTCGTTGAGCAGATTAAACTCGTGCGACACATCCGGAGCAATCAGGTAGTTGGGGTTATAGCTGTTCAGACCGCCAAAGGTCTGCGCTGTCATCCAAGCATCCGAGAAGCCGGCAACTGTCGGGAACTCCGTCAGCATTCTTCCCTCGGCAGAAGCGGGCAGAGTATCAGGATGGGGGGGAGGGGGATGGGGGTGTCCGAGAGGCGGGGAGGCCACGGTTCATACATTGGTTCGCATTGCTCTCTCCCCCGACCATGCCTTGACCACCCATTGCATTCCCCTGCACGGTGGCCGGTGGCGGCTGCTGTTGCTGCTGCTGCTGGATGAGGGGCAGCGTAGACCTGTGGCCTACGATAGGCCCGTTGAATCCCGACGAGGAGGCTGCAGGCCTGCTTCCGCTCGGATCGAACCCTGTGGGCGGACCCATGGTGCTGGATACAGAGCTTCGGCCCATGTCGGACGGGTTATCGGCGGTCATCGCATCGTCCCGCTGCTTCGCTACCGCTACCGCCGGTGCACCGTTGCTGCTACTGCTGATGTTCGGCTTGGGTTTCTTGGTGTCGGCTTCGCGGGGCTCGTCGTGGCATAAATGTCCAATGTTGCGCTTGACACATCTCGTGCATGGTCGCTCCTACCCAGACACACGCAAGACGCAACTGTCAGTCCAGTGCCGCCACACGGCGAGGTGCCAAGTACACGCGCTCCGCAAGCTGGTGGAGGGGCGCGCAAGGCAGGGACCGAGGTCTTCAAGGGGACTTACGAGGTCGCAAGTCATGTGCTGACACGGCGCACGCGCGGACGCTGCGTTAGCAATATGATCTAGCAGTTCGGCGCATCCAGCCGACGGTGCTGCACGGACAACTCACCGATCTGCGGCAATATACACAAGCTAGCAGGCCGATCCAAGGTCAGTCCAGGAACGGAAACCCAGGTGGGCGGGAGCGGACGGGATGTGGCGATAAGAGGGAGGAGGGGGAGCAAACAAACCATGGTTGACCTTGCGCCTCTTCTTGGGGCTCTTGTGCTGCTGCTGGTTCTGATCGTCGTCATGCCTGGCGGTGGCCTCGTGCTTGACCTTGACTCCGTTCGTGGCAGTCGGCGGCTTGCCACCGTCGTCGCTCTCTCTCCGGTCAGCCATGGCTGCAGCTCTAGCTGTCGCTCGATGTGGTGAGGCCCATCTGAGGAGGGGGCGACGCAGAGCGGGAAGCCGGAATGCGGCACGGCTTCTGCTGCCTCCTCCCGCTTCGAGTCGGCTACGTGCAGAGGGGTGTGCGTGTGTGACGACGGTCGGGGCGTCGGACGGCGCGAGAGAGTTACACACGGACAGTCGAGAGAGGACCGGGTCGGTTGAGGTTATCGACCTCGTCTGGTGATCGGCGCCTCAGCACGCAGAGGCTTTATCGGTAGTGAGAAAAATAGAATAAAAAGTCAGCAAGCGCCTCGCGCGCAAGACGGCGGACGAGACAAAGCGAGAGGGGCGACAAATCTCGGCGACGGATGCGGACCCGCAGATGGAGGAGGAGAGTGGGTTTTGCGGCACAAGCTTTTTTTCTTCTTCCCCTTCTCTCCCCTCTGCGCGGCTCGGTAGGATCGGAGCGGAGAAAGAAGAGTCTTCTTCTCTGTCGGTCGTCAATGCGTCATCCTTCCAGGCGGGAAGCAAGGGAAAGAAGAAGAAGAAAAGAGGCTCGAACGTTGTGCAGCAGGGCAATGATCAATCGGTCCTCTGGCATTGGATATTTACCTTCCAAGCTTGCAGAAGGGCGGGGCTCTGTATTATTTGGTCTTTCCTGGGTAGGAAAGCTGCTAAGACCCAAGAGGGAGCTCGCGTGCCTTATATTGTGTCTCTACTCCGTAGGACTATAGACTATACGACTATGTATTATTTATGTGTGTATTATATAAAATACTCGATCAGCCCGCATGTAGCTCGACTGATTCCACACGAGCAGTATTATATAATAGAATAGGCTATCGACACCGTAGCGACTCTCACTTCTCTCAGAGCGAGTGCGCGGACGTGTACATGTCATCCTCATCTCTTCTTCGCTTTTCTTCTCCGCCTCTCTTTTTGCCTTATTTATGTGTGTGGGTATGGCCCCCCCCCCCCACCCCCCACCTTCTTGCTGGCTCTGATGATATTCAACCTGCACCTTCCGCCTCAACCCAGATTCTATGATAAAACATACACATATTCCCCCGTATCCTGATGATTCCTACAAGACAAATCTCTCCCATCAAGACCGTGCACATGTGCCAACCGATCCGTCAAGTTTCCAACGGCAAGACAGATCAAGCCTCGGGCATATTCGGCTTGCCGATCCCTCGCCCGCCATGCCCGCCTTACCCGGCAAGAACGAAGAAGGAGGAGTAGAAGAGAAGAGAGTCGAGATAGTTGTCAGTGTCTTTAGCACAGTCAGTACGGAGTATTGCTTATAGTAATAGGTGGTAGATTAGGTAATGCGGACTCGAGTCTGGCAAAGGTTGGAAAGAACATCAACAGCCTGACACCTGATAACACACATCCCACCTGTTTTTTTTTAAGGTGAATTCAAACCATGTTTTAGTGATATCACCCTGTTTCGGCATTCAGCTGATGATCACTTTTTATTTGCCTTTGTTCATCGCCAGCTCCGATCTATCCTCGTGATCTCTCCGTGTCAGACTCCGACACCGTTCTTACCAGATCCGACAAGAACATATCTACTCTTGACCGATCATCTGGGGAAGATGTATGACAGCCTTGCTAGTCACTGATTGCCTTTGCAGACAGGACGATATTCCAGAGATAGAATAACTCATCGAAATAGCGCTATTTCTACTATCTCCTACTACAATCGTTTCCCGGTGAATTGATGACTCGGAATTACTCCGGTAAATTGTATTACTAACTCAGACGGCCTCTGCCCAACGTTTTCCCGGCCGACCCGCGCGTGACATGACATGGCGGCACACACACCTGGTGATATGGAAATTTGGGTATGAAGTTACATCTCTATTCTCCAAAATATGACATTCTGAGTCCGTTATGAAAGCGCCGAGTTGAAAAACAAAAAATAATAAAAAAAAGTAAAAATATATGCAAGGGATACAGGATACAAGAGACGGAGTGCGCATGTTTCACCCTCAGATACACACGAAGAAATTCTTCTCGCCCTCCTTGGGCGTCACCCTAGCCCTCTTCATGATCTCGTCATCGCAAGCTAGACGGATCCTCTCGGCCGTAGCAGGGCTCTCGAGCCTGAGGAGATCATCCGCACCGGTCCCCTCGATGCCCGCAGTGCGACGCGCCGACCGGATGGCATCGCGGATGGCGAAGAAGACGACGCTGCCCATGAAGAGCGGTGGCTCGCCGACACCCCTGCTTCGCTGGATGGTGCGCAGCTCCTCCCACTCGACGCCCTTGAGCAGGGTGACGTTGAATTCCTGGGGGATGTCCCGGAATCCGGGGATCTTGTACGCCCCCGGCCCGCGGGTGAAGAGGTTGCCGGCCATGGGCCCGCCGCGCAGCCACAGCGACTCCTCCATGGTGAAGAGGCCCACGCCCTGGACGAAGGCGCCCTGGATCTGCCCGTAGTCGACGGCCGGGTTGATGGACTGGCCGATGTCCATCTTGACGTCGGCGCGGAGGCACGTCCACGACCCCGTGAGGAGGTCGACCTCGACCTCTGCCGCGGACACGCCCTGCGTGAAGTAGAAGAACATCTTGCCCCGGTTCTCGCCCCACACGTAGCCAATCTCGGGCGTCTTGTAGAAGCCCTGGGCCGACAGGTTGACGCGGTCAAAGTAGGCCGCGTGGGCGAGCTCCGCCATGCTGGCGCCCGGGCCGAGCTTCTCGCGGTAGGGGGCCAGCCGCCCGTTGAGCTCCTGGCAGGCGTTGAAGATGGCGTACCCGTTCAGGTCGGACGAGGCCGACGCCGCCGTCGGGGACGCGTTCGCCACCGTGTTGGTCGCCGTCTCCGAGATGAAGACGCTGTCCAGCGGGACGCCCAGCGCCTGCGCGGCCACCATGGTCATCTTGGTGTGCAGGCCCTGTCCCATCTCGACGCCGCCGTGCGCCACCAGCACGCTGCCGTCGTGGTAGATGTGCACCAGCGCCCCGGCCTGGTTCATGAAGAGGGCCGTGAACGAGATGCCGAACTTGGTGGGGATCAGCGCCATCCCCCTCCGCCGCCACTTGTTGCCCGCGTTGAACTCGGCCACCTTCTCCTTGCGCCGCGCGTAGTCGCACTCCTGCTGGATCTGCCCGTACATGAGCGGCACGTGCCAGTCTACGATGGGCTGGTTGAAGTGCGTCGTCTCGTGCCTCCTGTACATGTTGATGTCGCGCAGCTTCTCGACCGCCATCCCCAGCCGGTCCGCCACCTCCTCCATGCACGTCTCCGCGATGAAGATGCCTTGCGGGCCGCCGAACCCCCGGAACGCCGTGTTGGACATGGTGTTGGTCTTGCACACCCATCCCCGGACATACATGTTTGGAATCCTGTAGCACCCATCCACATGCGTCATGGCCCGCTCCACCACCGCCACGCTCAGGTCGGTCGACCACCCGGCGTTGTTGTAAATGTCCACCTCCAGCGCCTGGAGCTTGCCGTCACGGTTCACGCCGACCTTGTATTTGGCGAGGAACGGGTGCCTCTGGCCCATGAGAACCATGTCCTCCTCGCGCGTCAGCATGCACCGCACAGGCCGTCCCGTCTTCTTGGATGCCAGGGCCAGCACGGAGCTGAGGAGCACCGATCGTGTCTCCTTGCCTCCAAAGCCGCCGCCGATCCTCTTGACGCGCACATTGATCTTGTTGCTGTGCACCTCGCACACCCTCGCCGCAAACATTTGCCTAGTTTCGAGTGTCAGCTTCCCTCTCCTCCTCGTGTTTTCTTTTCATGTCGCGATCATGTCCACGGTCGGTGGCCGACCCATAGTTGCTGAACCAGAGCCACGGGAAAGGGGAGGGGGGACTCACGTCTCGTTAGCGTTCTGTGTGCTCGAGAAAATCTCCATCTCGCCGTCCTCATGTTTGGGCACGACAACACAAGCATTCGTCTCGAGGTAGAAATGCTCCTGTCCACCCATACGTACCGTCCCGGTGAAGACGTGGTCACACTTGGCAAATGCCTCCTTTACGTTCCCGTTCTTGATCTCGCGATACGTGCCGTGGAAGCTCTCCTGCTCGATGGCCTCCTCTATGGTCAGGATGGCGGGTAGATCCTCGTATTCTACCTTGACGGCGCGTGCAGCCTCTGCGGCACGATGGGCCGACGTGGCGAGGATCATGGCGATGGGCTGCCCCGCGGTGTAGACCTCCCCATCGGCGAGGAAGACCTCGTCAAACTGCGGGGGGCTGAACTTGTTGGCTTCCTTGGAAGGCATGTCGGACTTGTCGAGCGTGTCGACGACGCCTGGCATGGCCAGCGCGGCCGAGTAGTCGACTGACAGGATCTTGGCACGCGGGCGCGACGACAGGACGTAGGCGGCATGCAGCTCGTTCTTGAGCGGCGGAATGTCGTCCGTGTACTGGGCCTCGCCCGTCGTCTGCTTCAGAGCCGACAGGTGCGGGTTCGACTTGCCCGTCACCTCCTTCTCATACGCCTCGGCTGTTTCGTTGTCCAGCATGCCGTGGGAGATTTCACGCTCCACCTCGGGAACGGCCTGCCCGTCAGCATGCGCAGCGCTGGCGTCCAAAAAGCCGAGGACGTCGTGGTAGAAGCGGTAGAAGAAGCCGAAGGCCAGGGCCTTGCGGTACGACGCCATGCCCCCCGGGACGTTGTACGGCATGTCAAAGTCCCTCTCCAGAGCACTCATGGCGCCCTCGAGCGTCTCGAGCTCGGCGAACTTCTTGCCCACGAGATACTGCATGGTGAGCTTGGCCGACGTCGTGGTGGCCGCCATGCCGCCGTAGATGAGGTTGCACCCGGTGACGAGGCCATCCTTTCCGAGCCTGACGCGCAGCGCCCCCGTGACGATGGCGATGTCGTCGTCCTTCCGCTTGGCTTGCTTGTAGGCCCGGAAGAACTCGCCCTCGGCGGTCACGGGCACGCGGATGGACGCGATGACGGCGTCCTGCGCCAGCGCCGTCCGACGGTACCCCGTGAAGAACTGGCACATGGGGATCTCGGTCTCTCCGGCCGCGGCCGACCGGGCCACGAGCACGCTGTCGGCCGCCCACAGGACCGGGTTCAGGTCCGAGATGGGCGAGGCGGTCACCAGGTTGCCCGCGGGCGTGCCGACGTTGCGGATCTGCCTCCCCGCGAAGTACTTGAGCTGCTTCAGCATCCCCTGAAACACCTGGCCGCGCTCGGGGCCGTAATGTTCGACAGCCTGCTCGCATATGTGCTCCAGGTCCGTCAGCACGACGTTGCCGCCCACCTCGATGTGGTCGTCGTGGAAGGCGAACCGGCGCAGCTCCGCAATGTCCCCGACGTACACGGACACGGGGTACTGCAGAGCCTTGAACTTGATCTCGATCTGCGTCTCCGTGCTGCCGCCGATGACCTTGGCCTGCGGGTACACGCTCTTGATCTGCAGGAGCTGCTCTAGCGTCACGGGCCGGTACCACTTCTTGCGCTTGTTGCCAAAGGCCAGCGGCCTGAGCTCATGCTTCTTGAGGGCCGGCGGGAAGATCAGCTCCGTGTCGGGATTGTACTCGATGAAGCCCGGCGGCGTGAAGCGTTTGATATCGTTGCCATTCTCCTCGACCTTTTTATCCATGCAGCATCCACCGCCGCCGCCACCTGCCTTGCCATCCTTCTTGCCGTCCATGCAGCACCCCCCACCGGCCTTTCCGCAGCCGGCGTCTGCGCTGAATGTCTGCGCCGCATCTAGAATGGGTCTGTACCCGGTGCAGCGGCACAGGTTGCCGTCAAAGGCCTCCTCGATCTCGTCCTTTGTCGGTGCCGTGTTGTTCCGCAGCAGGGCGTACAGGCTCATGACGATGCCGGGAGTGCAGAAGCCGCACTGGCTCCCGTTGGAGCGCGCGATGCGCTCCTGCGTGGCATGCGGCCTCTTGGTGTTCCCGATGCCCTCGATGGTGATGACGTGTTTCCCGTCGAGGCTCGCCAACGGTGCCAGGCACGCGTTGACGCTGGCGTGGTAGATCTTGTTGGTGGTGGGGTTGTACTGGCTGACGACGATGGTGCAGGCACCGCAGCCGCCTTCACCGCAGCCGCTGTCGAGGTTTCAATGTCAGTACTGAGCGCGGGTGGCTGGTGATTTATCTGCTAGAACGGGGGATGTGTTCCTACAGTTTCGTCCCCGTCAGTCCGACGCCGCGGAGGTATTCGAGAACTGTAACTTCTGGGTCGACCTGGTCCAGCACAACGTTGGTGCCGTTAAGGTAGAAGCGTATCTCGTCATCGAACTTGGCCGTCAGGGAGGCCAGGCTGCTCGCGCTGTCCTCCCGCTCGGGGGAGAGGGCGATTGGAGCCATCGAGTTTTTTTTTCTCTCTTTTTCGCAAGACGGATCCAGTCGTGTCGGTGTAGAGGGCTGGAGAGGATTCAAGAAGAAGAAAAGGAAAGTTGAATAGTTGACCAAGTGATCTGAGCTATCACACCTCAGACATCAACCGAAAAGAGAAAGAGAGAGGGGGAGGGGAGGGGGGACAAAGTTCCAGTATAGGCCGAGGGATGGGACCTTGAGATGGGTAGTAGAGACAGTATATTTTGTGGTCGTCTTTGACAGAACCAACGATGATGAACAATAAAAAAATTGAGGGGGAGGGGAAGGGAGGAAAGAAAAGAATGAGGAGGCTTTCCCCATCCAGCACTTCCGAATCAGTTCCATCGTGCTCCCGTGGCGAACCCGTCATCTCTGTGGTGGTTGCAAAAGTAATGTACTACTCATTACGCCTGATACCTGATAAGCTATCATCGTCGGATCTCCCGATATGGTAGTAGTGTGTGATATACTGGACATGAGTGTGTGTAGATATGAGGCTCATGCCCGCCTGTCTCCTACCGACACAGAGAGAAAACCCGTCAATCGACTATGTGTGAATTCAATCTTGGCACATGGCAGCTATCATCTCAGAAATGTTCAACCCCACCACTAATAGACGGACCCCCCCGCTCTCGTCGGCCTGCTCCGCCTCTCAGGGACCATCTCCACCATCGGCCGCCTCCACCTCATGCTTTGCTGTACGATGCAGTATCTTCATCGACGAATCTCGCGTATCTATCCTCGAATGTAGAAGCATTCAGATGCGGGCGGTGCGGGTTCGCGTGGATGTATACGTCTTGGTTACGTAATACATCAAGCACCACGTATTACTAGTAACACTGTCATGTCCTTGTTCTTCATTATTGTATCGATGTGACTAATGAAAGCCATCCCTCTCTAGTACTTGAAGTATCCAATATATATATATATATATATCCCTTTTAACCTTTTTTTTCTTCTTCAAAATTTTCTCCTCTCACCCGTCTACTGCATGTACTTCTTCAAACCCCTGAGCCTCTCCTTGGCATCCTCGAGGATATCGTCGCTCTTGCAGACGGCGAAGCGGATGTAGTCCTCGGCAAGGTGTGCATTCTTCTCCGTGTAGAACTCGGTGGGCGGGATGGCGGCGACGCCGACCTCTTGGATCAGGAACCAGGCCAGCTTGAAGTCGCGCGGGCGGCTGGCCACGTGAGCGGGGAAGGGGTAGTCGTCGGGGAGCTTGACCTTGCTCATGTTGACCAGGACGAAGTAGCCGCCCTCGGGCTCGGAGTAGGGCAGGCCCAGCTCGTCCCAGACCTCGTTGAAGCGGTCCATCTTGCCCTTCATCTCACGGATGGTCTCGTCCCAGAAGCCTTCGGACTCGGCCTGCTCGAAGCCGACGGCGCACGCCTCCTGGAGGGGCGAGACGGACGAGAAGCAGATGCGCGTATGCGCCGCCGACACGTATTGGAGCAGATGGGGCTGCCCGATCAGCCAGCCGACCCGCCACCCGGTAGCGTAAAAGTTCTTCCCCGCCGATCCCACCGTCAGCGTCAGGCGCTCGATCTCGGGGGACAGCGTCGCTATCCTGGTGAAGGGCGTGTAGAAGAGACGGTCGTAGACCTCGTCGGACAGGATGATGATTTCGTTCTTGACGCACAGGTCACCAATCTTCTGCAGCTCCTCTCGCGAGTAGACCTTGCCGACGGGGTTGTCTTTTTTTTGGGGGGGGGGAGGGGGGTTGGTCAGAGGTTAGCCCTTTTGGTCTCTCTCCTTCATGGATGAGATCATTTGGGGGGGAGAAACACATACGAGGCGTGTTGAGGACAATCATCTTGGTCTTGGGCGTAATAGCACGCTCCAGCTCATCAAAGTCAACGGTCCAGTCACCGGCCGATGTCGTCTTGGTAGCCCCCGACTCGGGAGGGTGCATGGGGACGTAGACGATCTTGCCGCCGGGCATCTCGATGTTGCTGATGTACTGGTCGAAGAAGGGCTCAAAGACGATGACCTCGTCGCCAGGCTCGATGAATGCCATGAAAGCACTGAGCATGCCTACAACAGCGACAACGATCAATCAGTCAATCCCATCATCGTCCCTCCATCCCCCTCGTCACACGAGACTCACCCTCATTGGCACCGGTAGTGATGGTGACCTCGGTGTCCGGGTTGAGCGTCCGGCCCCAGAACGGCGAGTAAGCATCGGCAATAGCCTTCTTGAGACGCGGACGCCCCTTGGTAGGGGAGTACTGGTTGCACTCCACGCGGTCGAGGGCCTGCTTTGCCGCATTGAGGATAAAGGGAGGGGGATTATATCCGAAGAAGCCCTGTCCCATGTTGACAATTGGCTGGTTGGGAGAAGACTCGGCAGCCTCATTGACAATGGACCTTTGTTTTTTTTTGTTTTTTTTTTCCAACGTCAGTTAGCCTTGCTCTCATTCAGGTGCCGGCCCATGCATCGCGCATACTCACCAGACATCTTTACGCTGACTAGACACTCTGGCCGCGGGCTTGAGCTTGTCGGATAGAGACATGGTAGACGACGATCGGCTTGTTGCTGCTGTTGCGAGCTGACTTGTCTTCGTTGCTTTCCACGCCGTGGATCGGAGGAGGCCCGCCACAAGTGTCATGGATGTTCTCAAGCAGGAAGACGGGTGGAAAAGGGCTAAGGCGTTCTCCTCCCCCACTAGAGCTGCTCGACCCAAGATTATATATGAGTTTTCTGTATGAGGGGTGAACAGCTATTAGTTAACCAATCGGTCGTCCGACAATCGGCGTTTCGTCTTTCTGTTCTTCTTCCTTCTTCCTCTCTCTCTCGGTTCCAGGGTGATATCGAGCCCTTCTGATCGCTCGGAAACTTGTCCGTTTGGGTTCCTGTCAATCCTGAAATATGTAACCGCTATTGCGCCATCGACGAGGTTGAAGATTGAAGAATGACACAAGCGGGCACCGGGGTGGGACGGGACGCTTTCGGCTGATGACTAAAACAATTCGCGCCTTTTGGCTACCCCCCCCCCCCCCCCCCCCCCCCCCCCCCCCCCCCCCCCCCCCCCCCCCCCCCGTCCTCCGATCGGCCCCAAGTCCAACCACCAGGCAATCAGTCATTAACAATCCATTCCTATTGACTCTCGGGTCTTTCACAATTACGCATAGAAATCATTCATATACGCATGGAAGAAGAGGTACAAAATGGAAGGAGAGGTGTAAAAGAGAAAAACCATTATTCCTGTTCCTGGTATACATCGTAATAGGTTCTTCGTGCCCTGGTCTCATCCATTCCGACACCGGAATTCACTGTAGAACAATGCTGGGATATCTACCCGTCCTGAACGCCCCCTTACAGCAAAAAAGAAAAGAGAAAAGAAAAGAAAAAAGACCCTTCCCCCCAAAAAAAAAGGAAGATGAAGGAGAAGATGCCGCCCCAAATAAGAAAACCAAATTTCCCAAATAATAAGCATACCAATCCCGGTGGGATGAAGTGCGGAAGGGAAGAGAATATGATAAGAATACGGATAGTTAAGCTTGGTTACCTCCCACAACTCGACGCAGGTTTGCCATCATCTTTTCCATAAATTCCATTGATTCACGCCCAGGAACATCGGGGAATTCGTGTGTGGCCGTACCAGAAGGACTGCCGTTGCCCTGCTGATGTGCCGATCCCGTCATCTTGGCTGCAGCTGCTTGGTGCGGGGTCGAGACCGGGGACTTGGGCACAGGTACGGGCGTGTTGGACTCGACGACAGTTTGGCAGTTCGGCGCGGTCCGTTGCTGCGCAGGAACCTGAGTGGCACTCTGCGTGGTGGGAGTCGAGCTGCTCATGGCTGCCAGGAAGTTGGCCGGCAGCGGTACAGGAGATTCTCTGGGCGGTGCCTGTTTTCGAACATAACTCAGGTCAGTAACACGCCAGAAACCAGAATCTTGTGGGCAGATCACACCAACCTTGAAGGGTTTCGCCGTCTGTAATGTTGGCGGGGTGAGCTCAGGCTGCCCAGTCATGTTCTGCTTCGGTATCGGTGATGGCTTTGTCTGAGGCTGTGGCTGCAGCGTTTGTTGTTGCGGTCGCGGCTGCGGCTGCGGTTGCATCTGGTATTTCTGCGATGCCGTCTGCGGCTGCGGCTGCGGCTGTTGCTGGCCATGCCTGGCATCGTTCAGACACGACGTTGCCGCCATGCTGGATTGTCGAATCAGTTCCTGAGGGTTGGCCAGCAGGTGTGCTCGCAGGTCTCCCTCGTGACCGTTTGTGAATCCTCCCCACGGCCCATATGGTGTGCGATATTTCGACGAGTCCCTGTATACATTGTCGGTTACTTTTTCCTTTTGCAAGCACACTGGAGGCAACCTACCTGTTGTGATGGACTTGGAAAAATGGATATTTTTGATATATAGAAGGATGAACCTGCCACGTATACTTAGACTGCTGCCGATTCTGCAGAGGTGCTCGCGGTGGCTGTTGCTGCGGTTGCGGTTGCGGTTGCGGCTGCAGCTCATGCGTCTGCCGTACTTGTTGCTGCTGCTGCTGCTGCTGAGGCTGAGACTGTATCTGCTGGAGTTGGTGTTGCTGTGGGTATCCGGCTTGGAGCTTGACCTCGAACTTCTGCGTCGTGAGATCCTGGCGGTTCCCGGCTGTACATTGTTGCTGGGCTTGCACCTGCGTCTGCTGCTGCTGCTGCTGCTGCTGCTGCTGCTGCTGCTGTTGTTGGATATACCTCTGGTATGGGTGATTACCATCAGACGCAGAAGCAGGGGGGGGGTGAGGAGAGGAAGCAAGCCACTGCGTGGTGAACACTGCGGACGTAGAATGACTAGTCTGGCTATCAAACGTAGTGTATTGAGACATGTAGTTGCCCGGCAGGGGTGGCGGCGGCGGTAGAGCAGCCGTGGGCGGTCTGGGCGGCTTCGGTGGTCTGGGCGGCTTGGCTGGCTTCGGCAGCGTGTCGAGGTAGTTGCTTTGGGGGTTGTGTCGTGGCTTGGACGGATCTTCTGTGTACTGGGCCTTTGCGTCTGTCGACGTCTTGGGGAGGTAGAACCACATTTGAGGTTTGTCGTCGTCATTGTCGTTGCCGTCGCCGTCGTGCTCCTTGACCAGACGGACCTTGGCCTGGTTCGGGTTGCGGTCCGCCTCAGACAGGTTGAACTCGGCCCACGTGTAGCCCCCGTCGACGAAGTAGTCGTCCTTGCGGGGCTTCTCGTCGCTGGGACGCTTGGCATTGAGCTCGTCTTTGGCTTTGCGCGACGCAGGCATGGGAATGGCGTTGGCCGATGCCTTGGGGAGGTGGTAGTCCGATGGGTCTGGGAGGAGGAGCCACTTCCATTCGGCCTCGACGCGGTCACTGGTTCACACACGCGCAAGTCAGCTAGGCTGCCACAAGATTCGAATGCATAAGAAGGGGGGGCGGGGTAAATAAATTGAACATACCCATGTGGCAAGACGTCAACCAAGAGCGTCTCCTCGTCCGTGCGATTCTCAACCACGGTACCGGCAAAAATCTCCCCGCGGTAGTACTGCACCTGACAGACGTCGCCTTTGGTCAGCGCCGCGGCAGCCTTGCGGATACGTTCGTCATCCTCCAGCACGGCACCGTCCAGCTTCCTGTCTCGCTTGGTACGATGGAAACGGCAGCTGAACTCGAAGGCTTGCTCCTTATACTCTGTCGAGTCCTCGCCAAACACAGGCACCTCGCCCTCCTCGACGAAGACACCCGCCGCCGCCGCACAGGTGGCGTGGTATGCGCGGGCGCACTTCTTCTGGGAGCACTGGAAGCATGCGCCGCGCTTAGAGCGGCAGAAGAGGCATTTGAGGTCCGCGCGGTCCTTGTGCACTCCTGCGACGTTGGAGACGATCTCTTTACCCTGAACGACATCAATGTATGTCTCGGGCAAGTACAGGGCGCATATGCGGTGAGCCTTGCGGCCGTCGTCAGTCGGCAACACCTCCATCGACTCAATGTCGTTGGGGCACAGACAGCAGGGTGGCTCAGCACGGCTCTTGAGGCGCAGCTTGATCTTCTTGACCCTAGTCTTCTTGGGCTTCTTGTCGCTGCCATCATCGGCGGCAGCGCGCTTCCTCTTGCGGCCGGCAGTGCTGGCCTTGGCCTTGGCTTCGTTTCCGGATGGTGGTGACGGCAGGCATTGGTGTTCCTCTGTTTCGTCTTCGTCGTCATCTTCGTCGTCCTCCTCTTCGTCGGTTTCTTCGTATTCAGTCTCCTCGCCACGGAGCTTGCGTTCAATCTCCCAGACGTTGATCCAGACGCTGTCCTGGGCCTGTGCGCACTCGCAGCGCTTGGCAATCTTGCCCATCTCTAGCCAGGGCTCGAGAGCAAAGTTGACGGCCTCGGCGCAATTGTAACCCAGGTTGTAGCCGGAGTGGTAGCCGTAGGGGAAGGTGACGACGAACTCGCCGGGATACGAGACGACCTTGTTGACCTCGATGCCGTAGTGCTGCAGCAAGTGCTGGGGGGAGATGAGAAATCCCTTGTGGCGCAGAAACTGGCTGCATGCCTTGGCGTCGGCGGGCCAGATGTTTTTCATCGCGGCCTCAAAACGGCGCGCATCGGCCTGCGAAATGCTGTACCACTGCTTGGGGGCGCCAAAGTGGACATAGTTAATGCTGTACAGGTCCACGTCCTCGAGGTGCCAGGCGAAGGTGGCCTTCCACATGCCAAAGTACAGGTAGGCGCAGTTGACGCCGGGGATCTTGGTTCCGAGGACGTCGAGGATGTTGGGCAGCTTGCCCAAATTCCACGACTCGGTCCGGTCGTCGAACAGGGAGCCCATCATGTCAGCGCCGTACAGCGGGGCCGCGTACGTCAGCGTCTTCCAGTACGCCCGCTCCAGCTCCTCGCACCTCTCGGGCGTGAAGTCGGAGATGTCCATGTGGTAGTCGAAGTCCTTGAAGGCATCCTCATCGATCATGGCCGACCCTTCTCGGCGACTGTACTTACGGCGGGCCGATACAGACTGGGCGCCTCCGCCCCTTGACTGGCGTTGACGGCCTCTTCGGCCGGAAGCAGCGGTAGCTGACGATGGCTCCTCGGCATTAGCGCCGTCGGCTTCGACCGAATCCACAGGCGTATCATTTGACTCGGGCTTTGGCGAGACGGGTGTCATGGGCCGCTCCTCCCGGGCCACCCCTCTCTTTGCCGGCCTGCCCCTACCCCTCCTTCCTCGTCCGTTGCCTCGTCCGTTGCCACGCGTCCTGGGCACGGAGGCCTCTGCGGACGGTCTCGGGTCAGCTTGGCGTCGTGTCGCCTTGGGCTTATCGGCGTTTGCTCGCCGCTCACCGCGGCGGGCCGGCGGCTGGTGCTCGCTCTGGTCGCAAAGCTGCCTCCACTGGGGTACGTTGTACGAGCGGCCGTGGAGGATGTTGACCTGTCTGTATGTTCCATTGGAGCCCATGATGTCTTGCTTGATCGGTTCACGGACGCGGACGCGCTTAACGAGGTCGTTGAGGGGTGGCTGCTTGTCGAGCCATTCCTTGGGCGGAATGATTTTGATGATGCCAGACTTCATGCCATAGCTGTTGACCTTGTTCATCTACAGGTTATCAAGTCAAACATGTCAGTCAGTATTCTCAAGAAGGGGCTGTTGGGGTGTATGTGTGTGTGTGGGGAGGGGAGCGCCAAGGCAGAGTACAAATTTGGTAAAGTCCTTGAATTGATGCATGGTGGGTTTGAAGACAGCGACAGCACCGGACCAATGGTCGGGAAGGACCTCTCCAATGTCCTCTTCCGGCTCCGAGTCTGGCCCCGATTTTGGCGCAGGCGATTCGTTCGAGCTCTGGTATTCCTTCTTGGTCGTGGAATCCACGGGGGCATCGGGGAGGACAGGCTCCTCGTCGAGGTCGCTGAGCTCCGAGTCGCTGCTCTCCTCAGACTTGGGCGCATTGTTGCTATCGGACGGTGAATGCAGGAATGCCGGAAGCGTGTGCTTGGACGACCGGGAGGAGTCATGTTGTTGTTGCTGCTGCTGCTGCTGCTGCTGCTGCGGCTGCGGCTGTTGTGGTCGTTGCGCAGCTGCTGCGGCGTGGCCAGCTTGCTCGTGTGCTGGTGTCACTCCGACGCCGAGGCCTTCGGTGGACATGACGGGCGGATTTGCGTCGCTACATGCGACCGATGGAGGGGTGGGTTTTTCTGTTTCTATGTGTCGGCAGCCCGGACTGTACAAGCGCAAAGGGACACAGACGACCACTTCAAAGAAGTATCAGTAAATGATCACCAAATATTCCAGGTCGAATCCTAGGGGGGCGGGGGGGGAGACCTTTTTTTCCTTTCGAGTTGAGATACCTCGTTTGGTGGTCTGACGTGAAATTGAGCACAGGAGTGGAGGAGAGGGAGATCGCTGTGTGAACGAGAGTTCAAATGACAGGAGACGCATGTCCAGGGCGAGTTGCACCCGATGCCATCCGCTGTGCCACACCAAGTCCGGGTTGGCTCTGAGATTCTGAGGACATCTCTTTGAGGGGATTCAGTGGGGCGGAAATTGTGGCGTAAAAGTGTGGCACATTCTCTGGTATCAACGATTGCTGACGCAAGTCACTATCAACGATTCAGTACTCGTAGTGTGTCAAACGGATTTATGAACCTCGATACGTTGCAGTAATACTTGCTACTTTTCTCCATTCTACCCAGCTATTAGATTCATTTGTTCTGTTTCCTTTTTCAACCATGGCAACTTGTATCTACTCGGACCAAGACGTCCCGTCAAGGCGCCAATTTCCGGCCCTAGTTTTTTGTGTCTGCCTGAGGCTACTGGAACGATTTACTTTTCTACAAGGCGGCAGGGTCACTTGCACGCATCTATCTGCTGATTGATAAGATAATAAGATTTGCCCAGTGGGCCAACCTAGAGGTGATCCATGCAGATTGCAGATGGATGGATCTGATTTCTACTCGTAATAAACGGTCCTCTCTTCCATCCTCCAGACAGTAGCACAAGGTGAACGGATGGATTACTGCCTCTGCGTAGAGTAGGTCTTGCCACCCCCTCCTTACCTTCCCAGGAATCTCTCTCTCGTCTATGTATCCTCCCCGACACCAAGCACAAAACCCAGTTTAGCTACTTACAGTTTGTTGCGAATAATGCCTCCCTTCTGCATGCTACTAGTCTGCCCCTTTCTGCTGCATCTGCCATACATACATGTACAACGGCCCATCCGCTCCCTCCTTACCTTATTCACCCATCCACTCTCCTCCCCCTACAGCTTCTCATCGCAAAGAAATAAAAAAGAAAATAAATCCCATCCCACATTCAACAATCGTCGTCGTTGACAAAAATTCAAGGTCCCAGAGGGAGTCGAACCCTCGCTGGCGGAATCAGAATCCGCAGTCATAACCGTTAGACCATGGAACCGAACGGAAGGACTAGGCTGTTTGAATGGGCCGAGGGGCCGACTAGCCAGTCTTTGAGGGCTATCGGAGCACCTACCCAGTCAAGATTCTATCATCCTCCGAAAACAAAAAAAAAATAAGTATGAGATTTTTTTTTCTGGTAGATGATTCGATATATACATATGTGAGAGTCGAAAAAGAAAAAGAGGGCAAAAAAAAAAGGTCCCAGAGGGAGTCGAACCCTCGCTGGCGGAATCAGAATCCGCAGTCATAACCGTTAGACCATGGAACCGAATGGAAAGACCAGGTTGCTGATTGTGAGTTCCGTCGTCCGGAAATAGGCCTTATAATTCTCATAGCCATTGTCATCCAGCGTTTTCCCTTGAGCATGTTCCTATCCTCTTACTCCGGTCAAGGCACTTCACAAACTGACACCCCTCTTGCTACATCCGAGCTATATAATACAATCTCAACACCCCGCCATAGTACAATGCGCATGAAAATTGAAGTCTATGCCTTTACCTTTCTTCTTTCCCTTCCTTACCCCTTCTTTCAAACATGTTTACCATGTTTCATAACAAACAAAGAACGGAGCTATCATCATCTTCCTCCATGATCAACAGCGTGTTCAGAGAAAGATAAATATACCTCACTCTACCTCACCACACTAAATTCATGGATCGGGTAGACTACTGTGCTGTACTCCTAGAAATTGATATGCATGAGTAATGCTTTGAGAAAGCGCCTTTGGCATGAAGACAAAGTTGTTTCTTTGCAGATCTGCCTAGTAGAGTTCTAGTGATAATGTGCCTAATTCGTGGCAGTGATTCAGAGTGGAAGAGAAAAGTAAACGAGAAAAGAAATTGCGGGTGTCGCCCGACCTATATCATGACCCAGATAGAAGGAAAAAGAGAACGACGGAAACATATATAAGATAATCCAAATTCTTCGCTTTCAGGATAACGCCTTGTTGAAACCCCCCCTATGTCCAGATTTAAACAACACAAGATAAACATACAAGAAAAGTTACCCATGCCCGTGAACAGTGCAATTCTATTTTTTTGTCGTGGAGCCGGAGCCAGAAAAGAGAGAATGAAAGATTCAAACGGACTTGATGTCCATGGTCAAGAGCTCGAGTCTCGAGACGATGCTCTCAACGTTCTCACTGATGCGCTGTACGCGAGCCATGGACACGGCAGCAGAGGCCTCCTCCTCCGTGGCGTCCACAAGCTGGTAGCGGGCGAGAACCTTCTCAGGCACGACGCCACCAAAGATGTTGGCGCTGAGCTCATCGTCGTCCTGCTCCTCCTGCTTGTTGGTGATAGTCTCAATAGGCTCGGAGTGGTAGAGGGCGAAGTCGGGATCCGACTCGAACTCTTCATCGATGGGGGCGGAGGTGGTAGCCTTGTTGTCGTTGTTGTCGACGGGAGCACGCTCGATGGCGTGTATCTCCATCTTGTCGTCGTCAGACTCAGGAAGGGACTGATCAACAAAGTTGGTAGTCTTGCCGGACAGGACAGCAGTGTCGATGGGGGAAGCAATGTCCAGGTTGTCGACGACGAATACCTGGGGCTGGAAGTTGTAGGCTCCGTCAAGGGTGAGCATGGAAAAGTCCATGGCCTGCTCGGGGATCATGGCCATACCAATCTGCTGCTGGGACTGCTGGGAGCCGTAGGAGCCGACGTCCTTGGGCTGCTGACGCTCACCCTGCTGCTGCTGCTGCTGCTGCTGCTGCTGGGGCTCCATCTTGACAGGAGCAGCACCCTGGCTGGCGCTGGCGCTAGCGGCAGCGGGGTTGGAGCTGAGGTCATCAAGGAAGTTGGAGAAGGATGGCGAAGACAGGAGCATACGGGTGAGATCCGTCAGGCGCTTGTTCTCGTCGAGAAGGGCACGGTTCTGAGCACGCAGGTCTCCGTTCTCATTGACCTTGCCGGCAATCTCGGCTTCGAGCTGGGTGATGTACTCCTTGCGGCGAGAGCGGAAGGCGCGGGCAGAGACCTTGTTGCGCAGCTGGCGACGCTCCTTGCTGCTCAGCTTCTTTCCCTCCTCACTGGCCAGTAGGCGCTCGTCCTCATCCATTTCCTCCTCCTCCTTCTTGCTCCTGGGCAGGTTGGAGGCGGCAAAGTGCTTGTCATCGTCGGGGGACGAGGTCTTAGCCCTCATCGAGTTGAGCAGCTGGCTAATCTTCTGCTCAACGAGGGGGTCGCTGGGAGAAGCCTTGCCCCTGGCCTTCTGCTGCTGCTGCTGCTGCTGCACGCCGATGCGCTGAGCTTGCTGCTGAGCCACCATGTGCTGATGGTGCTGTTGCTGATGACGCTGCTGGGTCTGAGCCTTGGCGAGGGCGGCCTGGGAGTGGGCACCGGGCCACAAACGACCGACATTGCCAGTGTGAGGCATGTTGCCCTCCTGCTGAATGTTGCTGGGGTTTATTGTGGGGAAGAAGCCTTGCAAGTCGGCGGCACCAGACTCATACTCGAGCTCCATTTCGGACGCGGGCATGTGGCCCTGGGAGTTTGACGAGTTGAAATCAAAGATGTCATTCTCAGGGCTCATGCCGGATATGTAGTCGAGGCTGCCAAAGTCCTGGTAGCCAGTGTTGTTGGACTGGTTCACGGCCATGGTGTTGGTCAGGGCGCCGGGGACAAAGCCGGTCTGCTGGCGGTACATGTCATAGTTGTGACTGGGACCGCTCAGGGTCTGAGTAGTGGCGGGGCCGACGTTGGGAGTCTGGATAGTGGCAGAGACGGGGCTTGCAAAAGTGGCCTTCGAGGTTGCCGAGGGCGAGGGGGACAGAGACTGGTTGCCCATGCCATCGTACTCGGTGAGGTCGAGAAGGGAGTCGAGGTCGACGTTGTTCTGTCCGGAGACTGACATGGTGTGTTGTTCGATGATCCGCACCGGGCGGTATTATTTTATTCGAAGTGTTGTGAGCCTTGCCGGCAGGGCGTCGATGATCTTCCGCTGCGAAGAGTGTTGCGGGGAGACTGAGACTTGTTGAGGCTTGCTGGCAGCGTTGATCAAGTAGTACCCAGCCGGTCGAGGTGGGTGAGTGGGTTGTTTCGATTTTGACTTGCTGCAGATTTCGATATACACAAAAAGTGTCAAAATGCTATCGTTGATGGCAATGATCGTTGATGAAAATGATGAAATTTTGGTCTATGGCGATGGGGAGGGGGGAGGGGAGGATGTGTATGTAAGATGCGAAGAAAGGAAAAGGGGATTATCAGAAGGATTCTGACACAGCAAACACACCACCAGGCGCACAAAGGAGGTACAGAGCCCAAGTCAGGCAAACGGCCGGTGATGGCTGTGGGTACAGTATCCGGGCAGAGTATGACAAGGGGGCTGTGTGAGAGGATGGGCCACCGTTGACGCACCAGAAAAATACGGAAAACACAGCCAGACAGCAGAGGATGTACCCTCGTGTGGGGCCTCGGTTTCCCTGAAAGCGTCTCTCCCATTCGACAGTTCCAGGGGTGGAGGGGAGGACAGCAGTGGGGCTTCATGGCAGAGAGGACGCGTAAGCCTCCTAATAATTGCGGCACAGTTGGCCCGGCCGAGTTTATGGGAGAACCTCCATAGCTCACTCCATTGCCGTACTACTGCCAATTCCGTACAAAATACGGAGAGCCTGCATTACCAAGCTGTAGTAATCGATTAGACGGTCCAAGTGTGCCGCCCACCAATTCCGTAGCAGGCCAAGGCCCCGCTACCAATACACCCACCGAACTTTACAGGGCAGCAACACCGCTAAAGCAGCGAAGCCTAGGGGTCCAAAGGGATGCTCTAGGGCCCAGACTGGGGCGTCCCCCCCCCCCTTCCAAGTCTCCTCACTACAAATTGCCCTGGAAAGCTACAAGCAGAAGGCCTTGGGGGACGCCCGCCTTACCAAGCAGGATACGGAGGGAGGCTTAGAAGGTATTAGATGACGACGGCTCGACCGGATGGCCGCTCCCATGTTGGGAATACCTCCGTTCGCGAGAATAATACTACTCAGTACGCAGGAGATAATGCAGTGCAGCATTGATCGGGTATTCTGTGTATTACGGAGCGATAATAGGCGCCTCGCCTCGGTAGTGTAAAGAGGAAGAGAACCGATAATAGACGAGAGCTCAACGTTATTCCCCCGTATGCCATCACTGCTGGGCTAGGGAGGAGAGGAGGGGGGATGTTTCATTTATGGTGACGAATCTTGCAGGCGCCGCCCAAGCGTATATGCATGCCTCCATCGTGGTCAAACATTCAATGGGCGCCTAGACCCTGGCCTTCTCTGCGTGACGGCGTGAGAGAGTTTCATCGGCAAATGGAGATGCACTATTAATACCACCTAAATGTTTCTTGACCCTTCAGAGGCCCCTCCTTCAACCTTGTGCCTCGGGGGTTGGCCAAGAGATTCCAACTACCGGACTCGCCGTGCGAAGGGTATCCACAGCCTGGTTTCAGCCCTTTGAAGTCTGGGCAATGTGGGAGATTAGGAGCTCCGGAGTGATCACCGTGGGAGCGGTAGGTTAAGATTGTAATAATAACTACTGAGCAGGGGATCCTCTACTTGTATTATTTTACTTCCCCTCTTCCCCCCGCCCCTTTTTTTCTCTCTTTTTGGCGTTGCCTCTGTTGCCGCATGGTTTAGATAACGTCGGTTATGGTATTATCATCATTAACCAACTCACACAATATGACGTATTGAAGTCCGAAAATACGCTGTAATAATACTGTAATCTGTATTCTGTACGGATTACAGGTAGAGAGATAATCTGACCATTGCTGATCAGGACCGATATTAACAATACTGAATGTGCGAGCCAGTGACGCGAATCTGATAGCAGCGAACCGGAACAACCCCATCCGATATGGTCACATGATCACATATATATCTTTAATGTAACTCCCCTAGCTATCTGTATTATGCGTCTTTTGTGTCATTTGCAGCCAAGACGAGGGCCACTTGTCATGCGTGTGTGCGCGGCTGATCCGCTAACCATCAGGGCCTAGCTGATCGCAATCGAGTCAATACCGAGAACATATCGAGTATTACTCGTGCAACGCCATGATAAACGCTTTGTTCGAGTCTTCATGTATATGATAGTCACATGACATGACGAGCTGTCGGATCATGGTAGGACCGGTAATGCCGTTTCCTCGGATGTTGTAAAACGCCGCATTCCGCTCCTCACGTGAATGCCCTAGTAGGATGCCATTTCCGAGGCATGCTTGCAGTTCTAACTGTAATCTGTACAGATTACAAGACTACGAGTACGGGGCACCTGTACCTGTATTCCATGGATACTGGTCCATTAATTTGTGGTAAAATCCCTGGACCTTGTGATTCATCGCCACGAGAGCGACTATCTGCCAGAGAGCCTAGGACTGTTGTTTTGCCACTGTTGGCACTCGGTGGCCGTGAAGATGCGTTCCAAAAATACACACACAAGACATGGTACCTATCATACCCCGTGACCTACATTGGCTGATGTTGAGCCTTGGTCACTCTACCTACACCGACGTACTCCTATTTTTCACCTTGTCATTGCCTGCTCTCCTTTTCCTAGCGGATAGATATGATGAGCGATGCTGACGACGGAAAAGGAAGGGAAAAACTCTTGCCTCACCACTCCTGCTCTTAATTCCGATCGGCGTGTCGTACAATACGGATACATGTAGTCATATTGCTCTCTCCACGCGCTGGGAGAAGCAGCCCACAAGTTATTTTGTGCCTACCCGCCCGGCGCACACATACATGTTTGCCCGTGGAGATTTCGACAGCGAAAGAAAAGTCCGAAACTCACCGGCGCAATATTATCGTATGTTGTAATCTGTACTTGTAGACAATGATTGTTTTGGAGTTCCAACCTCGGGGCAGGTGGAGATTTCCCGTGACAGGCTCAGGGTTCCTTTCCCCCCCTTTTTATCCCCCTCCCTCCTCTCCCTTGCTCAACCTGAAGGATGGATCTCGAGACATGCAGCGCCGTAGGAAACACCCCTACCCTGCAACGATGCTGTCACACAATGTGTTTCGCTGTCTCATGATGAGGTTCCATCACTGACGTGAGTTCTAGAATCTGCATGCTGCCTTGCCCCCCTCGGAGACTTCTGGGGATGCTTGCTGCCATACCGGAAGGTTCTCACAGGTCGGATGAAACTTGGGCGCTGTAATTCCGTCTAGGACTTTGACGAGTAACTTATCGTGTTTATCATATCCTGGTAATTAAACTAGTATTACTCATGGTAACAGCATCGATACAGTGCCCATACACCACGAGCAATACTCCGTAGCAGCAGCGGTTTTTTACCTGCTCCTGCTTGTCCGGGTAAAGCATCAATACATGCATACGACGGACCTACGAATACTCCGTCTATGTTCCATCAATTAAAATAGAGTGATCGGAGCTGCCAAGTCTCCTTCCGAAATCATAAGAGATCTTCAAGCACACAACCAGAGGGAAAGCAATTCATCACGGAAATCGGCGTTGAAGTCTCGAAGAGGAGCTGCCTTACTGGGCCGTTGTGAGTGATCTAATACAGAGTGCGACCGGCCACACAAAGTAAGGGCTCCGACGTTGGCAGCTACCGCGAACAATTGGCGGAGGCTATCAACCTAAGCATCTCAAAATGGGCAGGTACTACGACATGGTATCGAATAAAAGCATGCCATGAAGGAGCCGGGTGCGGGAATAGGCGTAATAAGCCAGATAGGATCAACCATGACAAGATGCTGTAAATGCAATAATACTGCAAGTAAGAAGATCGAAGATGCAGGGGCGGGTAAACCATGTGCAGAGGCGATATTACTCGTGAACATCCTTGCGAGTTCCCGACCCCGATGGCCTGCTCGTATGAATATATGTACTGTCTGTTAGCCTGTTGAGACGTACGAGTAGGTGCAGGTCTGTACAGGACCATGCTGAGGTAGCGATCGTACTTCCGTACTTGTGGTGATGGTAATAATCACTAGTGCGACCACCCGGATACTGTCATGACGAGGCGCCGCACCACGCGGTCCACACCACATCGCACGAGTATGCAGCAGAAACGGCTCAAACGAGTAATACCCCGTACCAAAGCTGGCAGGATGGATGGATACCCCTGTCCCACCGACGAGCCGACCGACTAGCCGTTGAAGCCGACAAGCCTAGGCCTTGGCACCGCCACCACCCACACGTACTTCTAGTACGAGTGCTATGACTACCAGTAGGACTAGTAGAAGTAATTACGCGCGAGGAATGATGAAGAGAGATATGAGTTATTACCTTTTCTTCCTCACTTCCAACTCTGGGGGAAGAGGAAAGCTAGTGAGCCGACAGAAGGAAAAGATAATTATAAAATCTATGGAACACGCTGCTTTGCTTGCCTTGTCCACGCGTACAATACACGGAGTCCAACACACTCAACGTCGTACGTTCGGTTTACATGTACCCTGGTAGGTAGGGGGTTGGAGGGGGGATACAAGCACTTGAGAGGGGGGGGAGGCTGTCGGGGACGGGAAATCTGTCACGGGAGGACAGAGTGAGGGAGGTTTTCTAGAATAAGTAATATTAGGCACAACATCTCAAGGTTGATCACCTCCAGAGCGAGGGGGAAAGGGCCCTGGAGGAGCTGGTTTACTATGTGGCGTCCCTGTGTCCTGACTGCCCATCTTCGTCTTCTAGACCATCCCCGATATATGAGTGTTACTACCTCCATTATTTCCGACATGCGGTATTGAGACTACATGTACGTTCCTTTTTTTTTCTCTCTAGTTTTCTTTTTTTTACCCTCCCCCCCCCCCCCCCCCCCCCCCCAAGGGCAAGGGGGCAGGAGCGCGTCTCACTGAGAGGATGGAAACGGCTTGATTGGGCATTGGATCTTTTCTGGACCCAGAAGACTCCAGAGTGACTCCAGAGAAAGTTGTGTATATGTACTATCCCCTGGTCCCCCTGGTCTCGTAGATTGGCCCCCTGCACACGTATGTGCATACGAGTATAATTCTTCTCCATACATACAGACTGCCTGTGCCAGACTACCAGCAGTAACGGAACGGAGAACATACGTAACTTACCACTACTACCACCAGTCTCCACCACTTTCTCTCTTGCTAGAGCCTTGACCCTTTCCTGGCTCTCTCCCTCCGTATCCCCCCTCCTCTTCCTCCATATTACAAGCGGTTCAAAATCGTCTTTTGCTTTTTTTCCTTAAATATCTTCTTCTTTCTGTTTTAGTTCCTGCGGTGGGAAAATATGTCTGTGGTTTTGTATGACTGATCCAGCTGCTGTTCTTTTCTATCCTCTGTTTTTTTTTCCACCTCTTCGCACGTGAAACCTTGACTTTCTGTTCCTGTATATTATTACTCCTCGCCAATTATCCGCCATGTCCACTCCGGCTTGGCTCGCCGGACTGTCGGGTGGTCCCAGACGCAGAACGTCCTTCTTCTCGAGACCCTGCCTGACGACGTTGACTGGTATCATCGCCGTCGTCTTCCTCTTCTGCAGTCTCACCTTCGTCTTCTTCGGCCATCTCGACCCCCAAAAGTCCACCGAACCTCCCGCCGAAGACCACCAAGACTCGGCCGGCAGCGGCCACGGCATGGAGGATGTCGTCGCAGACCCTGCGCCTGCTGTGCCCGAAGTCGAGCCTGCGCCGCCTCCAGAGCCGGAGCCTGAACCCAAACCTCCCCGCATGCTCCCCGTCCAGCAGCCGGGCCCCAGCAACCACCTGTCGTGGGACTACGTCACCTACAACAAGGGCGACAGGTACGGACCGCGCCCGGGCATGGGCTACGTGTCCACGCCCATCCGCTCGCCTCTCTTCCAGGTCAACACCTTCAAGCCCCGAGCCACCGAGGGCAACCCCTACCTCTTCTTCTGCCCGGCCGTAGAAGGCCAGCCCGGTACCATCCAGATCTTCCGCCGCAAGGACCTGTCCCTCGTCTACTCGACCCACGGCTTCCACGCCACCGGCAACTCGCGCATGCAGGAGTACGACGGTAAGCAGTACCTGACCTTCTGGGCCGGCGAGCCCGCCTCGGGTCACGGCGTCGGCAACGGCATCATGTACGACGACGAGTACCAGCTGGCCTACAACCTGTCCATCAACACCTTCAACACCATGGCCGACTCGCACGAGTTCCAGCTCACCCACGACGGCGGGGCCATGTTCAGCGCCTACGAGGCCATCCGGGGTTACGACATGACGCCCGTCGGCGGGCCGCCCGACGGCGTTCTCCAGGACTCGTGCTTCGAGGAGGTCGACATCGCCACGGGCGAGACGCGCTTCGCCTGGCGCGCCTCGGACTGGTTCTCCATCACCGAGACGGCCGTCCCTTACAACGACGTCGAGGACTACGGCCACCCCACCCACGACGGGGGCTGGGACTTCTTCCACATCAACAGTCTCGAGAAGACGGCCGACGGCAACTACCTCGTCGTCGGCCGCCGACTTAGCATGATCACCCTCATCAACGGCACAAGCGGCGCCCCCATCTGGCAGGTCGGCGGCAAGAACAACCAGTACAGGGACCTGTCGGACGGTATGGCCACCAGCTTCGGCTACCAGCACCACGCCCGCTTCGTCGACGACGCCCAGACCGAGATCGTCATGTTCGACAACTCGGACCTGGCCGGCACCCAGCCCAACCCCGGCTGCGGCGACAGGTGCTCCCGCGGCCTGCACATCAAGCTCAACCACGAGGAGAAGACGGCCAAGCTCGTCAGGTCCTACTACCACCCTTACTCCGTCCAGTCTCGTGCCGAGGGCGGTGCCGAGAAGCAGCCCAACGGCAACCTCCTCATCGGATGGGGCAAGGTCCCTGCCTTCACCGAGTACACCGCCGACGGCGAGGTCCTCCTCGACGTACAGACCGGCCCTTGGAGCGACTCTGTCGTCGGCGAGTCCCACGTATACCGCATCTATAGCCAAGACTGGAGGGGTAACCCCAAATGGAACCCTGACATTGCCGCCAGGGACGGCCACATCTACGTCAGCTGGAATGGTGCCACTGAGCAGGAATACTGGGCACTGGTAAGTTCTCCCTATCCCTCCCTCCTTCTTTACACACTCTTTTTTTCTCACCCCTTCCTTCCCACCTTGATCTCATGATCCACTCCCTCCTCTTCTCTCCCTCAAAAAATAAAAATAAAAAGTTGGCCACGGTTAACATGAAACAGTTCACCGGGGACGCTAGCGACTCCCTGGAACCCACATACATCACGTACCGCAACGGCTTCGAGACCACGATGCCTATTCTGGGAAACCCCCGATACGCTCGTGTCGCCGCCCTCGATGCCACCGGGAAGCTGCTGGGCAGCACCGACCGCATCGACCTGGAGACGGGCCTCAAATCGAGTGTGGATTCTCAGCTCGATATCGACTTTATCCTTGACCCGCATACTCTGGTATGAGAGCGGGTAATAATGATTGTATATTCATCAGACGTGAGAGGAGAGGGGAATTGCTTTTCAAACTTTTGATACAAATGAAAATAGTTGACGATTGTGGGATTTCGGGGATACATTGGGTTTCATGTTTATTTGTCCTTTTTTTTGTGTGCGTGACTTGGGTTGTCAGTATAATACCCCTGCAAACGACCATTGATAGCGAGATGTTTTGGCCCAACACTCAAGAGAGAAAGAGGCCTGGCGAAATTGGGGGGGGGGGGGGGGGGGGAAACCACCCTTTTTTATTGTATTTTATCTTATCGTTATTCCACATCTTCTTTTTTTCTTCAATTTTTTTTTCAAAAGAGTCAATTCATATCCTATATTCCAACTCTCACCAGTACTACTAGTTATAGTTTGTGTTAAATACTTGTATGATGATGATTCGTAGCGTCTTTTTTTTCGCTCCTTCTACAACCATAGGCCCTCGTGATCGGGAGATTACATAATGCAGCCTCACCCAAGTTTCCCGACACCCAAGGGACCTCCCATGACCATCATCGCTGCTAGTATCACTCTTACAACCCTGGTCGACCGCGACCTTGTCCAAAAGTTGTAACTTGCGCTCCCTACGTGTGCTATGCTTTGCGCCTAGAGCTGTGTGAAGTTTCTTTGCTTGTCTTCCTGCTTTTTCCTCCCCCCCTGGTAGCTCCGACTCGGCGTTGAGCGAGTGCAACCGGTTTTCCACCCATCGCAGCCTGAAGCAAAGCTCTTGGGCTGCAGGCAACGTCTCAAGGAAAACACCACTCATTCGCGTCTGGAATCTTGAACGACGCTCGATTTATTTTCATGCGCTCTCCACGTTCGGAATCTAAATCAACCTACTAGCTTCTCACTGAAGATCTATATCTCAACAACATAGCCAAAAAGGAAAGAGGAAGAAGCTGAAAAAAGGAAGAAGAAAGAGACGACAGAAAAGGAAACATGACAATCCGATCCTAATGGGACGGGAGAAGAAGAAGCTGGCTGGTGGCGGCGGATCAGCCAAGGACCGGCACCATCGCCGCGTGCCCAGAGCTCAATTCAACCCGAGAGCACCGATGCCAACTGGGTTTGAAGCAAAACCAACAGTTCATAGGAGCAAATCTAGGCATCATACCTATTTCGAATTCGTCGAAAATGCAGACAAGAAGAAGAAGAAGCTCGAGTTCCAGGTAGCCCGCGGAACCTCCTTTCTCCCATCATAATCGCCACCCTTGCCTCTTTTGGCAAGAGAACTGGGCTGCAGTAATAGTACTCACACATGTATGCAGGTGACGACGAAAGCGACTCCGCCTCCCGGCTTCGAATTCGTTCCCATCGGTAACCCGGCGTTGATGACGGCCTGTAAAGAGCTCTCACGGGAGAAGGGGGCTATGATATTCATCGTATCGGCACGTGCAGATCGCCTCCCCCCCCCCCCGACGACCCCTAAGATTGGGAGATGCACTCTGCACTCTACCCCTTACGTCTGCTAACCCTTTCCCGCGGGTCTAGAATACTAAAGAGATCGACCCCAATCACCTTTCTCACCACGTCCATCGGACGGGCCACCACATTCGGGAGGCCATCGTCGACGAGGCCAGGGCCAGCTTGGAGCACTTACCTGACGGTGGTGTCCAAGCGAATGATGGCATCCCGGAGCCCCTTCCGGCAACTCAAGAAGAGTACACGACCCAGGCTAATGCAGCTATTCTCGACCTGTTCCCGCGGATACCGCACACGGACCGCCAGTCAATCATCGCACATGCGTTCAATCTGGTAAGATTGAAGTCAACCTGTCGCCGAATCGAGGGACGGACGGAACGTAACTTACATGCGCGTTATAGGCCTCGATAAATCAACGCCCGAAACCTGTAGGCCTATGCACTGACATAACTTTGTCGCGGCGCGCACAGCTCGCAGTTTTAGCGCATATCCGGCATACGCATACCCGCTATGACCATCTGTTGAAAGAGACAACCTGGCAGAACGCCAGGAAAGTCGTCGAGTCCTTGTGCCTGGACATCCTCGTCAAGTGGCGAGGGGATGAGGAGACCGGCCGGGACCAGCTAGATGAGATTCTTCGTGAAGTTGTCGTCATCTCAGATTCGGACTCTGGCGAGTCTGACGACGAAGATGAAGAAGATGACACTGAAGACTCGTCGATTGACGAGGTCATGAACCCAGGCCAGCCGACCGGACCTGACCACCCTTACATGGGGTCTTGGCAAGGCAGACCGCCTCGGGAGCAACCGCCGTCTGGCAGGATCCAGCCACCCCAAAGTCTCCAGGCACCACTACCAGTGATTCCCGGGAGAGATGACCGCCACATGGCCATCCCTCAGCCGACGACGGGAAGGAAGGAGCAGCGGGGTTTTAAGAGATACCGTGCTTGGGAGGAGGCCATCCGGAGAAACCGCGACGAGGACGACGACGAAGATGACGACGACGATCCGCGGCAACCCCCCCCGCAGCATATGCTGGATAATGCCGTCAGTAGTGGTCCCTGGACATCATATCACAGCCCTGTGAACGCCGTGCCAAGGCTTGCCGCTGCTGGCCCAGCAATGGGAGGAGTTGGAAATGTGCCGGGTTCCAACGGCTTCGTCCAGCCCAGGCCTTACACTTCTCTAGCTCCTCCGGCTAGCCCTCCAGCCCGAAACCCGGGTGGTGATAACGTAACATTGTATCCTGCTGAACATAGGCGCACGTTGGTGCCTTCTGGGCAGCCACATTATAATCACGCTCCCCCCACGACCATGATGATGGACGGGCTTCAGGACATGCTCGTTCCTTCCATCGAGCCGGCCTCCCCCGAAGCCGCCATGCCGCCTTCCTTTGTGCGTACCCTGCCTCCGAGGAAGTATCCATCAGCGGCGGCTGGGCCCGCGCCATTCCGTCTTCCATCCGCCTCTCCGCCTGCTTCCCCGTCCAAGGAGACGGGGACGCGAGACAGGCCGTACCACATCATTGAAGAGACCAGCGTGATCGGGAGGATTGATCATCCGCCACTGTCCCAATGGCACCATCGTAGCTCACATGGTTTCCGCCAGGATGTGCCAGCAAGATACCATGATCCTGACATCCTAGGGCCAACCTACCATCGGCCGATGGCCGCTGAACCTCTTCCTCATCCTCCTCAGCAGCCGGGCACTATCTCGGCAGTTCCGCTACCCCAGCAGAGAGCCCCCGTGGGCGCAGGTCGGTCAAGACCGCAACCGAGTCAATTTCGCATGGAGGACCGAGGCGGTTTTCTTGAAAGAGTCCACGAACCGGTCGACGAGTACACAGGTGTCTCTATACCCGGGCAGAGACCGCCGCCTTTCCCTGGGGTTGCACACCGCCACTGGACACCACCACCACCACAACTAGATGCCTACGCAGAGCGGTACTACCCGCCTCAGAGGTCGCCTCAAAACGCGAATGTTCCCATGCCTGTTCATTGGCACGAGCAGGCTCGCTTCGGACAAAGGCTGCCGCCGCCGCTGCCGCCACCACCAAGGCAGGAGTTCATTGCGGTGCCGGTTCAGCCCCGTCCTGAAGCGTGAGTCTTTGCGCGATACAAGAAGAATCTGAACAAAGGCTTGACCGGAAGAATGCGTGGTTCTGACTTTTATATGTATATAGGATGTATATTGATCCGCCACCGCCACCGCCGCCCGAGGTTCACCAGCAACAACCGGCAGGGCACTACTACCCTCATACTGAAGGTGATAGAGAGTACTACTACCGCGGACGACGGCAGGAGGGGCCGCTACCCAACGGGGGCAGTCATATCGTTGTTCTTGAGTAGGAAGGGCACTCCCTTCTCTTCTGTCCTTTACTTCCTCTTCTTTTCGGAAGTTACACTGCAAAACTCCTCATCCACCTGGATGAAGGTCTGTAGAGGGTACATTTCCCTGTGAATGATGGTCATTGGTGTTTTTTTTCCCTGGGTTTTTTATTTATTTTTATTTGCAAGTTGGACATTGTCGGAGGAGGAGATTTATTGCTTGTTTCAAGGGAGGGACGGGCGGCTATTGTGTTTTTGTTTTTTTCTCTTTCCTTTGTTCTTCTTCCCTTCATCTGGACCGTTTCTCTTGACCCATTGAAAGCATAGAAGGCTGGTGGATGGGACATGACATGTATACCCCGGTTATAGTATGAGTAATGAATGATGAACAACACATGAACATGACAAGATTTCTCAGACCCTAGATCAATGATTTAACAGAACCAATGGTAACATGAAATGCTTCTATAAGTTTTTTTTAATTAGAAAAAACACTGAAATGCATAACAAAGTTTCTTTTTCTTTTATAAAGAAAAGCACTCTCTAATCTCTTATTCATTTTCCCACGTTCATGTACCTTTTTTTTCTTTTTTTTCTTTTTGTTCATAAAACCCTATCTATTCCTATATGAACCAAATATCTTACCTCCTCTTAGGACTCTTACCGATACCTCCACCACCTCCCCCGGACCTCTTATCCTGTCCTAGACCTCTCCTACCAGCCGAGATACCACCTTTTCCACTCCTATCACCGCCACCGCCGCGACTACGACCTCCTCTTCCTGCCCCTCCACCTGCTCCTCCATGTCCACGGCCACGACCGCCACCACGACCGCCACGAGGGCTGATACCACTCTTGACAGCCGCGGCATCAGACTCGCTCATGTGACGAGCGTTGTCGTCGTCGTCGTCGTCGCCGTCGTCGTCGTCATCCACGCCGTCCCTGTTGCGACGGTTGGAGAACTTGAGGCGGCCGCCGCGACCGCGCACGGCGGCGTCCCTGCCCTTGATGGCGGCAACGTAGGCCCCCACGCCCGAGGTGGCAGCGGCGTCGGCGTCGACGTCCATGGCGTCGGCCTTGCCGTCGTCGTCCCCGCCCAATATGAGCTTGCCGTCCAGGTCGACCTTGGCCTTTGTGCGTTGGGGTTTGCGCATCTTGACAGGACGGGTGGATGAGATGTTGGCCAGGGCCTTCTTGTCGAGGAGGTCGAGGGGCTCGTCTTCGTCCTCGACAATATACGTCTTGCCACCCTTTTGGGGTCTCCTGCCGCCGTTCCGAGGTCTTTGCGATGACGCCTTTGCGTCTTCGCCGTCGTTGTCGGATTCGTCGGATTCGCTACTGTATAAGGCTTGGTCGAGCTCGTTCTCAAAGTTGGCGGGCTTGTTGTTGTTGTCGTCGTCGTCTTCGTCGTCGTCGTTGCCGCCTTCGCCGGCTTCACCCTTGGAGGCGTCCTTTCTCTTCTTGGCGCGCTCCTTGGTCTTGCGGATGTTGACCAGGAGCTTCTTGTCGGCCTCTGGGCAGTGGCGGTGGATGTTATCGTAGCCGAAGCGACGGACCATGCGCTCGATAATGTGCTTGACCTTGCTCTTGAAGTGACCCTTGTGCTCGTGGCTCCACACGATCAGGTTGGGCACCAGCGTCGACAGGCGCGGCATCATCAGCTCCACGGGCAGGCTGATGACGCACACCTTGACGAAGCCCAAGCAGCTCTTGACGATCTCGCGGTTGTTGGACGTCAGGAACAGGTCCATGGTCTGCACTAGGTCCGACAGCGTCTGCTCGCTCAGTGACGCGCGGAACTCGTACAAGAGCCGGCTGATGGCCGTGATGGACGCCGAGATCATGTGCGGTGTGCTGCCCGCCAGTCCCGCGCTCACCATGGTCAGGTACTCCTCGATGCTGGCCTTGCCCACCGGCGCGTCGTCGGGCATGTGCGGCACCTTGGAGTTGTCGATGACGGCGCCCTCGGCTGACGCCATGCGCTGGCCGATCTGCACCAGCAGCTCGTACGCCGTCTCGCGCGCCCGCTCATTGTTCTCCTTGCAACAGATGACCACCTCGCTCAGCACAGACGGGATGAAATGCAGCGAGTCGTCGGGCACGAACTCCAGGAGTGCCGAAATAGCCGCTAACCTCTCGCGCCGCGCAGGTGCCGACACCTTGTCCGTGCTCGACACTATGAGCGTTTGCAGCTCGCTGTTGCGCTCGTGGAGGGCCTCCTTGCCCGTCTCTGACTCCATCAGCCGCGGGATCAGCTTATAGGCCTTCTTCTGCAGCTGCGGCTCCTCCTGCCTGTAAATGACGACCGACGCAATCTCGAACAGAGCCCCGAAGCTCTCCCGGGGCAGGTACAGCGACATGGTGATAACCAGGTCCATGAGCGTCTGGGCCGTGGATGGCATGTGATCCTTGGACTTGCCCTGCTGCTGCGGCTGCTGCCTGGCCTTGCCGTCGCCCTGCGCTGCGGCGCTGTTCTTGAGCTCTTCGGCCAGCATCGTGCTCACGCGGTCGAACGTGTCTGTGACCTCGACCCCGGGCGTAATGCTCAGGAAGGCGTTGATGGTCTGCAGGATGGGGCCGCGGCTCTGGGGCAACGTCTGGGTGTAGACGTTAAACAGAACGGCCAGCATGTTCCCGGCAAAGGTTCCCAGGAGTTTAAGGTTGCTGCGTGCGACCTCGCGGGTAATGCGGCTCTGCAGGAGGAGGTCCTCCTCTTCCTCGTCGGGGATGCCGGCAATGGCCCGGTTGGACTCAATGAGGGTCTTGAGAGCGCGGCACACGTCGAGGCGCAGCTCGACCTGCTTATACAGGATGTTGGCCAGCATCTCCGCAAAGGACTGGTCAAAGGCCTCGGAGACGTCGAGGGGCAGGTCGCAATAGCCAGGGAGGGTGGACCAGACCTGGTGCACGAGGGTCTCATAAATCTTGACCTCCATGGTCTTCTCGGCGTCGCCGTGGTCGAGGACCTTTTGGAAGAGGAGCTCGCTGAGGGGGACCATCTCCCTGCGGAAGTGCGACAGGTTGGTGTTGCTGATGTAGTCGCGCAGGGTGGGGAACATCCAGGCCTTGCCCGACTGGCCCTTGACGGGCTTGGCGATGTTGAGGGGCAGGACGGACAGGACGGCCTCGGGGCCCATAGCGCGGATGGCCTTTCCGATGACCTCGTCGGCTTCCTTTTTGTTGCGGAAGGACGAAGACTGGCGGATCTCGCCGATGGTATGGGTGACGCCGAGCAGGACAGGGTCGGCGCGCCACCTCAGCGAGTCGAACATGGCCCCGAGAACGTTGAAGGTCTGGAGCCACGAGGCCTGGTACTTGACGGTCAGGAGGGCCTCGGCCGACTTGGCGATCCTGGAGAGTATCTTTTCGTCGTAGACGGAGGGTTCGAGGATGACCTGCTTGGGGATGCAATTGGCCATGAAGGAGACGAGGCATTCGGAGGCGGATATACGGATGTTCTCGGCGGGCGACTCGAGGAACTGCGAGACCATGGCGAACAGATCGGGCAAGTTCTGGAAAACGGCGTCGGCGTCGACCTGAGAGGAGACGTCGTAGCCACGCGAGATGATAGCCAGCCAGGGCGGGACGAGCTGGGTATCGTTGGCGGCGGGGCGCAGCTCGGAGATGATCTCCATGAGGCGGGGCAGCTTGGCGGACGACACCTCGTCGGTCATGCCCTCGAAGATGACCTCGAAGATGTCGAAGGCGGCCATGGTCATGTACTCATTGCCGGTCTTGGCGATGGACAGGAGCAGCTCGCACAGCGACCCGATCTTCTTGCTGGGCCAGCCGCCGCTGGCGACGGCGACGGTCTTGACGAGCTGGAGAGCGTGAATGATGGCGGGGTCGTTTGAGGCATCGGCCTTCTTGCCGGCCTTGCGTGCCCTGACGGCCAGGTCCTCGAGGTTCTTGGCGGCCGTCTGGGCGCTCATGTCGGCGGCTGGATGGTCGAGCGACGGGCTGGGCGGCGGGTTGCGCAGCACCTTCTTGACGGCGTCCTGGGCCCTGCGGCGCACCTTGGGCCTGCCGTCGAGCGACAGGTTGAGCAGGCCGGCGACGGCGCGGCGCGGGCTGATCTGCGCCACGCCCAACTCCCACGAGGCGGCATCCTGCGCCACCAGCAGTGACTCGAGGCAGCCGATGGACGAGCGGAGAAGGATGGGCTCGGCGTCGGTCGTCATGAGGAGCACGGGCGCCAGAAGCGACAGGATCTGCGTGAACTTGGACCGCAGCAGGGGCTGTGGGGCATAGGGTGTCACCACGTCGAGCAGGTAGACGACGGGCGTGGCCAGCTCTGTGTTGATGGTGTCATCGTTGACGGCCTGCTGTAGGAGGGCGAGGAGGGCGGCAAAGTATCCCGTCGGTGTCGGAGTCGAGTTCTGATCTTTGAGGGTAGACTCTATAGACTGGAGGACGACGGCGCTCTGTTTTGTGTACGTCAGTATATATAGATGAATGAATGTATATGTATACATATATATATATATATAAAAGATATATATAAGTTTCTTTTTTTTTCTCCCAACTTCTCTCTCTCTCTCTCTCTCTCTCTCTTAGTAGAGGCAGACTTGGAGTGGGGGGAAAGGTCAAGTATGTACCCTCTTCTGACTCTGCAGACCAGGAGATTTGATCTTGTCGAGCTTCTCCGCCAACGACGGTGTAGCCATGATGATTGTGGCTGTTATCGTCGTCGGAAAAATCGTAGTTGGAGACGATCGGTGTGGTTTTGTTTTTCTAGCTACTACCAAGAGGAAGAAAAGAAGACCGTCTAAAAAATTTACTTTGCAAAGGTTGGGGGAAAAAAAAATCCTTATCGTGCTGGCGGGGTTGCGATAAGCTTATCGATCCACGATCAAAAGTTGGACCTGTGAAGACGACGATTATCACCTGCCACGAGTTGAGCAACTCGTATGTGCGTGGGCGGATCCGGATATTGCATTACGGTGCTCACCACAGCCTCGAGTGCTAGGGGCAGCTCAAAATATCATTGTGGACGGCATGTATCATACTAGCAAACTGTCCGCCGTTGATGACTGGAAATGCACCCGATTATGCCGCTTCTTGCTGGACGCCGGCGGGGACACCGCTGCAGACTGGCTGCGCGTTGGATTGGACTGGGCACACCTCCTCTAGGCACAGTGCCCTCCGTCAAGTTGCTTCATGAAATTGGACGTCTGCTTGTAGCTGATGGAGCACGTGTTTTGATCAATCCTACGCGGAAGATATCTACCAAGCTGCAAGCGTTGTATGCAATGCAGTCCCGTACTGCTCTTTATTCTACAACCTGCTGATTACATCATTGTAGGCTTCTATGATGGGACTGTAGAGCTGGTCAGGGTCTCCCAACGGGGTCCCAAGAACCATCCTCGCTGTGTCACTGAATAGGATTGATCTAATCCGTAAGCATAGGGGCTTCACCACATCGAGCGTCTCGGGAAACTCGCCCATGATCCTTTCTAGACCATTCACACTCATAGCACCCTCCTTAGTCATGGCAATCTCCTCCAATCCCCCAACCTCCCACTTCCGTAGCAGACTCTCCCGAGGCTTCTTCTTCTTCCCTTCACCCTTGAACCCGTTATACCATGACTGGCGTGCACACATCCAGAGCAAGACGTAGAAGAAGGACTCTAGGTCGTGGCGATAGGTGTGGTCAACCCTACGTAGGACCTCGACTGCCATGAACTGCACCGTACCCGTCAGATGTCGCGCTCCGCTCGGCCTGCTGTCTCTCTCCTTGGCTAGATCGAGGTCGATAAGCATGCCGTTGAAGCCATCTGCCGTCTCGGGTCTCGTAATGATAATGTTGTTGGACGAGATATCGCGGTGGAGGATGTTTCCGGTGATATAGAGAGACCGGTGGGCTCT